TTACAGCCAAAGCAGACATGCGGCGAGGGAGCGAACCAAGTGGTTTGTCCGGGAGGAGAGTATCCGAACAACCGTCCCTAGGGACCAACCTCGCGAGAGGAAGCGGCGACTACCGAAAACATGTCGGCTAAGGCGAAAACGACGACGACAGCGACGGCGGTGTAAACGGCTAAGACGGCAGGGGGCTGCAGAAGAACGCAGTAGGAAGGAAACAAATAACGAGCCATCGTCGAAAGTTGATGCAACTGCAAGAGAAAGCAATGACTACACACGCGGCAGCGAAAGCTCTAGGCCTAGGCCACCGTTTGGCGTAAACTAGCCGTACACGCGACGCTAACCGAACAAGCTGGAACATTTTTTCTTTTTTTTTCTTTTTTTCTCAGTGGAAAATATCATGATGCCATTTTTAAGCTTAGGTCTCTGGGCGGGACCCGGAATGAAATGTGTACGCACTAGAAATCAGCGGAAATTAAATAATAATTATAATAATCGACACTCATAGAAGAAGAAAACACTGTTCGTTGTGCATCAACATGAGTCAAATTAATTCTATCACAAATTCAAAGAGAAATGTACCAATTGCCCAGCGGAGAAATCAAATAAAAGATTCAATGGACACATGTATGATATTAGAGACAACAATTTGACATCAACAGAGCTTACAGAATATTTTCTTACAGATGGCTGTAATTTCGACAAACATTTTAAGATGTCCATTCTTAAAAAATATTAAGAATCTATGCACCTTTCAACCATCCGCCTTTTGATAGGTCTTTTTTTTAAACCTTCTGTGGTGTCTAGCATATTAGCCTTATCTCTCCTATGCGCCGTACACCTTCAAGGCGTTCGCGATCAAGGCTCTCCACAATTTCTTGTCCCTTGTAGCTCCTAATAAGGTTTGTTTTTTTACTGTCTCTCCTAATCTTTGTTGTGTCAGCCATTTACACAAATTCGCTAGATATGTTACTCGCAGCTTTCCACTGCCACGCTTGCCTTCGATCTGTCCTGTGAGTGTTATATTTTGTAAGCCTTCTTTCCTCATTATGTGCCCTAGATATTTCAACTGTCTCTTTCTGATGTTAAGTATAAGTACCCTATTAAATTTGGGTAAAGGCGCTTTCTATTAGACACTATCAAGGATGTTTTTAAATTGTCTAAATATTTAGATTGTGTTGGTAATATTTTTTTCATTTTTGCAATAGAATGTTTTGAATTCCCTAACACAGTCAGAAAATTGTAGCCATGTTGAAAATGAATATTATTAAGAGTTGATTTCTTGTTCTTTTAGTATTAAGGCTTCCATTATTTTCAATCGTTTTTCTGCAGTTAGATGAAAGTATTACAATGGTGTTTTCTACGAATATATTGCGGATATATAAGTTAGTAGGTCTCCGTGTGTATTTAAACCTGGTTCTAGCTGTGATTCAAGAGGTGCTAAGTAAAGTTTATTAATAGAAATGTAGTTGTACGTCCGATAGAAAATATTATTTATATAGGAGGAGCGATATGATATAACAGTTCAGTACTTTTTTGCTTTTGTTTCTAACGAAAAAGGGTGAGCAATATAAACACAGTTAGTATGTATAACAGAATAAAAGAATTAACAGGACGAAAGACGCGATAACCAATAGGATTTATACCAAAAGAGGAATCACTGATAACAGAAAAAGAAAAAAAATACTCCAAAAGTGAAGCAAATACGTCAGAGAATTTTTTTTTTTTCATGATACGAGAAACATAGAACATCTGAAAATACGGAAATACCAAAAATATCAAAATCTGAAGATCAGCACTAGAAAAGCGAGCAGGCCCATAGGGGATCTTAAGAAAAATGCCTCCTAGACGATTTCGAGGCCGACAGGATTACAGAAGTAATAAATGAAATATACTATAGTTGAGACATAACGGAGGACCTTACTAAATATTGGTAACGTTATCTAAGAATCCAAGTGAATATTAATGCGAACTCGGTTCAATGGACCACAGAACCGAACTAATGTTGCGACAATCCTGACGAAGAGACCGCGAAGCAGAATTAGACCAGAAAAAGGTATCAAGAAGAGTACAGTTTTGTCAAGGACACTGGAACATGAATTATGTTATTGATACCAGAAGGATATCAGAGAGAAAGTTACACGAGCGGAAGGATAAGCACTTACTGTTTTATAGATTACGTAAAAGCATTTGGCAAGGTAAGACACAAATATCTATTTGAATTGCTAGAGAAACTCGATCTACTTGAAAAGAATGTTAAAATAATCCAGAATTTATATTGGGAACAAACCGTCTGCATACGGATAGAAAATGTTTTGAGTAGCTACATAAAAAATAGATAGAAGCGTAAGACAAGGATGTGTCCTCTCGTCGGATCTATTCAACTTCTACAGCGAGGCTATCCTAAGGGAGCCGGAAACCCTACAAGGATTTATTATCAGTGGGTGCAATCTTAACAACATAACCTGCGCAGTTGACAATATGTTAGTGGTTGATACAGAAATCAAACTACAGGACTTCCCCCTAAATACGGTAGTTAAAGAAAGCGAGAAAAAAGGACTAAGCATCAACTGCAAAAAGACAGAATATCCGGTCATCAGCAAAAGGAAAAACCCAAGATGTGAGTTAAGAATTAGATGTCAACATCAGACAAGTGCAGAAGTTTAAATATCTGGGAAGTATTTTAACAGATGGGCAATGTAACAACGAACAAGCATTGGTCTAGCGAAAGAGGCCTTCCAAAAGCAGCTAAGCAGAGTACTAAGAAACATGCAAGCTTCATTAGAGACTGATGTAATGAATATGCATACACCTGGGTTCCCCCTCACAGTAATATGATTGGTTGGTGTCAGCCATAAATACAGACTGATGTGGAGGTACAGGGACGACGCCTATTGGCTACGCCTATAGTATTCGCCTATTGCCTACGCCTATTGCCTACCACTACGACGAGTATCAGTCCATTATGGTTACCTGCTAGATTGTCCTACTCGGTTACACTATTACAAAACCACTTTGCTACTTCGAATAAATATTAGGTTGGTGCAAAAATAATGACGTAATAATGTCGTTTTTTGACGTATTTTTAACGTCAAAAAACGACATTATTACGTCATTATTTTTGCACCCACCTAATATATCCCTTTCCGGGACATATCAGAAACACAGATAAGATTGCCGGATACCTATGTGATAACCATCCACTTATATGTCAGTGAATGCAGTACAACCTCCCCACAGATGAAGAGGAAACTGGTAGCAACAGAAATGTGATTCTATAGAATGCTGAAAAATCCCATGAACAGAGCAAGTAAACAAAGAGGGGGTCTTTAATAAAATGGCAACGGAAAGAACGCTTATAATCAGAATCAGGAAAAAAACAGCTGACGTTCCTTGGACAAAAAATGAGATAAAGAGGGCTTCGAAAATTTAACCATGACTGGTCATATTGAGGGCAAGGGAGATCAGGGAATAAAAACGAGTCCCCTACCTAACGAGTTTGTGTGAATGAAGGACGGAGACATTAGAAAAGGTTGAAGAATGGCAAAGGGTCGCAAAGGATAGCAAGTCTTGGACAGCCATGATTGCCCACATCCTAAAGGGTGGCGTCACACAGAAAAAAAAGAGCGACATTTTCCTGATTCTTAATACTTTGCTTAGCTTTTGGAAAGCATCTTTAACTATCTCAATGCATTCTGATTTCGCTCTTGCATTTTTCGTCCTCTGCATAAATTTTTGTACTTGCTTGATTTGGACATCTCCAATTTGTAATTCGCATGTTCGGTTCTTCATTTTGTTGCAACCTACGTTCTCTCTTCTTACAACTGATGCATAGTCCTTTCTTCTCGCTTTCCTTTAATAACTTAAATGTTTGAAGTTTCGTTTCTGTGTCAGCTATCAATACCGTACCATCTGTGTCTCTTATATTGTTAAGATCGTGGCTGCCAATAACGAATCCTGCTAGGACTTCTAATTCTCTCAGAATCACCTCACTGGAATGTTTGTGTGGGTCTGGTGAGAAGACACAACCTTGTCTTATGACCATTTTCTATTTTTGTATATTGCTAAATCGATTTTCTATCCTTATGCAGACGGTTTGCTGCCAACACAGGTACTGGATTATTCTAATATACTTCCCAAATACGTCCAAGCTACCTAATACTTACAACATCTTTTTGTGACTTACTTTATCAAACGCTTTTGCATGATCTATAATATATATATATATATATATATATATATATATATATATATATATATATATATATCCTGAATCTAAAACCAGGTGTTGGCTTGTAGCTGATTGTTCACCGTGCAACATTCGACCAATTTCTCTCGGGTTCCTAGACCGAATTTGCTATTTCACCATCACTTGCCTTCCCTAGTTTGGCATTCAGTTATCCCAATACGATTATAATTTCCTGCTATTTGCATCGAACCTTGGCGTTTTCTAACATAAAGTAGAACTTTTCAATTTCTTCTTCCGTATTTTGTGCTGTCGGTGCATATACAACTACGATGGATATGTTAAAAGGTTTTCCTTTCATTTTAACTATAATAATTATATCAGATAGTTGATAGTATCCCAGAACGTATTTCTACATTGGTTGGTCTAATATCAGTCTTATTGTCTTTTCATTTTCCTTCTGTTTGTATATATGATCCCGTGTTTGTTACTGACAAAACCTCCATTGCTGGCCCACCGATTTTTGCATACACCGAAAATATTAACCTTTAACCTATTCTTTCCCAGCTTCATATTTTCTAACTGGACACGTTGATTTAGTGTTCTCACATTCCATGTCTCTAAAACTAATTTGATTGATGCGGATAGTCGCTGGATGGTGGTACGGTGACACCTGTCGCTCGTGTCTTTCTTTACCAGGTTAGGGATCAGATCCAAGGTGTCTAACCCCCTTTACATCATTGTTCATTATAGTTTCACTACCAGTCAGTGGATGATGGTCAGGTGACAACTGTTACATATGTTCCTACTTAGCAGGCGAGGACTTAATTCTAATAAACTTAACCCCACTTCATGGCGTTATATCATAAAATAATATTGTTGATAGTAGCCTTCGGAATTCTACGATTGAGCTATATCTCAACCGGCATCCTTCTCCCTTATAATGCCTGCGTCTGGTAATGTTGTCGTTCTGTTGGGAGGTGGCATAGTATCGGGGGCTTGAACTTGATCACATTAAAAGTGCGAACTCCGTACGTCCTATCATCTATGTCAGGGGTCACCAAACTTTTTTTCACAGAGGACCAGATAACTGAGACAATGGCAAGACATGGGCCGGATAACCATTTTGTTTTAATACAATACACGAAATGCATAAAAAATTGTTGAAACTTGACTAATGCATGGAATAATAATGCAACACAAAATGTACTTAGAACAAAATGTATTGAAAGAAGAAAGTGTACACAATATTTACATATAGTCTTTTGTATATTCCTGGTAAGACCGTTCCTGGAGAATGTGTTGACTTAGTCTCAGTCGGGCAGAGTCTCTGGATTGAATCTCTTGATTCTTTCTTCTCGTCTTCCCGGTACCAACCATATTTATATGGTCGGTACTCCACTATGCAAATTAGGTGGATCCTACCACAACAATAATAAAGACAACAAATATACTTATTTACAAAAATGTTATCCAAGAAGGTGATAATAGCAATAAAATAGTTATATCACAGCAAATGCGCACATATCACAGCAAGTGCGCACATATCACAGCAAATGCGCACATATCACAGCAAGTGCGCACATATCACAGCAAATGCGCACATATCACAGCAAGTGCGCACATATCACAGCAAGTGCGCACATATCCGAATCTCACAAACTAAGCAACACAAAAGGTTAGTGAGATTTGTGAAACTTGCGTTTACCTTTTAAGATATAATTAATATTTGCTGCATCCAACCAAGAAAAATGTTTTCAAATGTTCGTCAGTCAACTTCGTTACATGTGCTGACTTTACATACTTTAGATTTTATAAGTTCAGGCAAAATATATAACATAATTCGCTGAAGTCAGTCCTTTTTATATACGGCACTCTTCAAACCGGTTTAAACATGGCAATGGAATTTAAAACATAATTGCTGCAGCAGGGTCGTAATCGCTTTTATTAGAAACTTCATTGCAAAAAGTCCCCGAATTTTTTCATGTCACTGATTTTCCTAAAACTTATAATACTGTCAGATGCAAAAATCAGATTGGCCAAATTTTGGCATTTTACATTTATTTTAATTTTTTTATATAGTAAGTTTAACTACAATCTTATGATAATTCCATATAAACAATTATATTATAACTCATTTGTAGCACGGTGAAGCGGCGGGTTTGATGAACTGATCCGGCCCGTGGACCATAGTTTGCTGACCCCTGATCTATGTGTACCGATATTATAAGGTTATCTCTGGGTATGTCTATTTGAGCGTGACAACAGGTCTGCGCATACGTTATTGTTACGTTATAGACACTCTGCCTTTACCTGGTATAGACCAGATGGTTTCAAAATAATATTAATCTCAAGTTCCAGAGATCCATTTGCCCCTAGCTGTATCGCTCCTTCGGTAGAAGGATGCGGTCATTACCTGTTACCCGAAACATCCCTAAAAGGGAGAGTGCCGAGAGAACTTAAGCAATTTTGGCCAGAATCACGCATAAAACTCGACCTTGTGTCAACCTTCTACAACGTGGCCGAACCAATAAATAGCTATATTCTAAATCCACAACTGGATTTTCTTATTCTGAATGGGAGAATTCAAAAGATACGACAACGGCTTATGATTCGTTTAGATCGTGAATGTCGCACTATGTAAGTAATTTCTGGAGATTTTTAAGTCGTACTGAATGACATAAGCTTCTTTTTCAATAACATCTCTGCGTATCACTCTCAGTTTACAGGATCCAAAGTACACATCATTTTTCTACCTCCACCCGCCACTTTTAGATGTCAGTAACATGTCTCCATATAAAACTTGTATTGTATTTTCTTTATCAACACGTTTCGTCTCCTAAGGGACTTTTGGGGACGATAGGCTTTGGTAAAGAAAAGTTTTCCTTTTATTTTTTTTTATTCATGTTGTCTTTTTACAGATATATTTTATTTATATCTGATTTTTTTTTTTTTTACACAAGACTAATATTCTTATATAGTTCAGGACAGGGTACCCTAACATCACCAATTCGGACAGCATAATTTTCAAGTGATCAAATGATTTGCAGACATCCAACATCCCATCTAAAACGGGAATAATAATGCCACTAAAACGCAAGAGGCTAATCGAAGTGAAAGAAAGAAGTCTTCAGAAACAATTATTATCATTATTCTCCCTCCTTTCGTTAATTCGCACGACCGTTACGCCCTCCCAATACTTCATAAATAATGGACTATTCCATTTTGATCACGTGTAAAGAGGGCAAAAGAGACGAAGAAAGAAATAAGGGAAGATAACAGTGTTTAACGTCGCCTTCCAATACCTCATAAATAATGGACTATTCCGTTTTAATTGGATAGAAAAATAAAACACATATCAAAGACGCTACCTGGTTTCAATTAGAAAAGTGAAAAGAAAGAAGTGAGGAAAGAAAGAAAGAAAGAAAGAAGAGAAAAAAGACGTGTTTAATGGCTCTTTCAATGAAAAGTTATCAATTTCAAATCTTTTCATTTGTACCCACTTCTTAAAATAACGACCAGCATTCATATTTATGATCATTATCACAATATATTTATTAAAGTTGTTAAGCTCAAATATTTTAACGATTTGACAAGAGAATTTCTATCGGTATTTTATTGTCGTAGAAATCGCTATGAGCTTATTCAATCATTAACTGAAAAATAAAGATTTATCAGAAAACTAACGGCATGGCCCGGCGTTGCTCGTGCTTAATTCAAAAATCATACGACTCATACAGCAATCGCTATCACTTGACTTAAAATATTTTTGCCCTTCCTTGCCTTTAAAGGAGTGCCCTTTGCCGTGCTGATGTTGCTACATGCCTTACTTCTTGCCTATCTCACACTGCGAATTTTTTCTAAGCTCTATACTAAACATTAAATCTGTTACGAAAAAAGAACTAAAGAAAATGAACACAAAACGATCAGCTTTAAAAAAGGAATCGTAACTGGAAAAACCGAATGAAAAAAGAATGTTAACAACAAATACTTTTTCACATCCAACCCAGTTCTGCGGAATCAGAATCAACGTTGAGTTTAAGCAAGCGAATGAGCCAATTGGAGTAAAGTGCCATGCAGATTTAAATTTTTCCCACTTGTGACGGATGCAGTTATCGATTTTTTTGCATGCTAGCATGCTAGTTAACATTCGTGTCAGTCAGCTGGCCAATAGAATCTTCCTGCCTATTCGTGGCAGCCAGCTATAGGCTCTCACTCTGGCCAATAGAAAATGGCCGCAAACTACATGAAAACTGCCGTAGAAGCATGAAAAAATCGATTATTTGTACTATCGATGGGAAATGCAAAGTCGGTCTTGGCCTTCCCGCTATCTTGGAGCATGTGAATGTCAACTTGCAAATCCGTCAAAAATTGCGGCCGTGCATTCGTTACACACACACACACACACGCACACACACACACACACACACACACACACACACATATCCTGCCTCTTATAGATAGAGATTCAAATAGGAAAACCGTTAAATTTTCACAGGTCTTTCTAATTATTATTATTATTACTATTATTATTATTAAGGTTGTTGAATAGGTAATTCCAAAGCGTCGACTTAATTAAACAAAATCTTTGGACGCACTAAATATCCATCCAGCTTCCACTGCGTACACCTGACCACTTTTATTAACTTTTATCCAATACTCAATACGGTGTGTGAGACGAAAAATAGCCGTAAGCCATTGCCCTGCTTCTCGTACTCAGAAGATGTAATATCCTGCCTTGTTTGTGTTTCCCCTGCCACTGTATTGCATTGTCTGATTAACAAGGCTATTTTGAGCAAAGCTTTCATTGACGATCGGAAATTACAGGCGAGAATCGGTACTTGTTCGTTTGAGTGATGAAGAGGACAGAAAATCGAGATTGAAGATCGGACGACTTGCTAAACAGTATCCAATCACAAGTGTAAGAAAGAAAATAAAGATGATCAGACAGACAGACAGACACATAGATAGATAGATAGATAGATAGATAGATAGATAGATAGATAGATAGATAGATAGATGATAGATAGATAGATTCGAACAGGCTGAGATAGGTATAAATAGGTTGAGATAGATATAAATAGGCTACGAAGGAAGGAAGAAGATTAAGATAGATAGATAGATAGATAGATAGATAGATAGATAGATAGATGGATAGATAGATAGATAGATAGATAGATAGATAGATAGTATCGAATAGACTGAGATAGGTATAAATAGGTTGAGATAGATGTAAACAGGCCACCAAGGAAGGAAGGAAGGAAGGAAGGAAGGAAGGAAGGAAGGAAGGAAGGAAGGAAGGAAGGAAAAGAACGGAAGCAAGGAAGGAAGTGGATTAAGCTAGCTAGCTAGCTAGCTAGCTAGATAGATAGATAGATAGATAGATAGATAGATAGATAGATAGATAAGAAGCATTTGAAATACATATGAAAATATTCAGAAAGAAAATAACAAAATGAAGACAGATTATGAACAGGCGTATATATATATATATATATATATATATATATATTAGAAATAGGCACTTGCCGAACAAACCATAAATAACTGTACCAAACAACAGTAACTACGTCATTTAAGGACTCTTAATAGCTAAAATGCATAGCACATGTAACTTGAAGAGAAAATAATGACATAATCCTAATCTGCAATATTTCAAACAAAAGGTTAGGTAGGAAATCCTCGTCAATATTAAGAAGGACGTTAACAGCTAATGGACTTGAGAAACCAGTTTTCCTGAAAAGTTTTTTTATTTACTATACCAAGAGAATAAGGGGACAATTCGAGATAGATAGATAGATAGATAGATAGATAGATAGATAGATAGATAGATTCGAACAGGTTGAGATCGGTATAAATATGTTGAGATAGATATAAATAGGCTCGAAGGCAGGATGAATGAGATTCGAACAGGTTGAGATCGGTATAAATATGTTGAGATAGATATAAATAGGCTACGAAGGCAGGAAGGAGATTAAGATAGATAGATAGATAGATAGATAGATAGATAGATAGATAGATAGATAGATAGATAGATTCGAACAGGTTGAGATCGGTATAAATAGGTTGAGATAGATATAAATAGGCTACGAAGGCAGGAAGGAGATTAAGATAGATAGATAGATAGATAGATAGATAGATAGATAGATAGATAGATAGATAGATTCGAACAGGTTGAGATCGGTATAAATAGGTTGAGATAGATGTAAATAGGCCACCAAGGCAGGAAGGAGATAGATAAGATAGATAGATAGATAGATAGATAGAGATAGATAGATAGATAGATAGATAGATAGATAGATGGATTCGAACAGGTTGAGATCGGTATAAAATGTTGAGATAGATATAAATAGGCTACGAGGCAGGAAGGAGATTGAGATAGATAGATAGATAAATAGGATACGAAAGGAGAGGTATAAAATGTTGGAGATTAAAATAGGCTAGATAGGAAGGAGATTAAGATAGATAGATAGAGATAGATAGATAGATAGATGGATAGATGAAGATAGATAGACAGGTTGATAGATAGATAGATATAAATAGGCTACGAAGGCGGAAGATAGATAGATAGATGATAGATAGATAGATAGATAGATAGATAGATTCGAACAGGTTGAGATCGGTATAAATAGGTTGAGATAGATATAAATAGGCTACGAAGGCAGGAAGGAGATAAAAAGATAGATAGATAGATAGATAGATAGATAGATAGATAGATAGATAGATAGATAGATAGATAGATTCGAACAGGTTGAGATAGATATAAAGATCGGATTAAGATAGATAGATAATATGATTGAGATAGATGGATAGATAGATAGAAATTAGGATCGGTATAAATATGTTGAGACGAAGGCAGGAAGGAGATTAAGATAGATAGATAGATAGATAGATAGATAGATAGATAGATAGATAGATAGATAGATTCGAACAGGATTGAGATCGATGGATAAATATGTAGATAGATTGAGTATAAATAGATATAAATAGGCTACGAAGGCAGGAAGGAGATTAAGATAGATAGATAGATAGATAGATAGATAGATAGATAGATAGATAGATAGATAGATTCGAACAGGTTGAGATCGGTATAAATATGTTGAGATAGATATAAATAGGCTACGAAGGCAGGAAGGAGATTAAGATAGATAGATAGATAGATAGATAGAGATAGATAGATAGATAGATAGATAGATTCGAACAGATGAGATCGGTATAAATATGTTCGATATAAAACAGGTTGAGATCGGATAGATAGATAGATAGATAGATGGATAGGTTGAGATGAGATCGGTATAAAGATATAAATAAATGGGCTACGAAGGCAGGAGGAAGGATAGATAGGAAGGATAGATAGATAAGATAGATTCGAACAGGTTGAGAGTATATAAATGGGTTAGATAGATGATAGATAGATGATAGATAGATAGATCGACACAGATAGATAGATAGGCTACGAAGGCAGGAAGGAGATTAAGATAGATAGATAGATAGATAGATAGATAGATAGATAGATGATAGATTCGAACAGGTTGAGATCGGTATAAATATGTTGAGATAGATATAAATACGAAGGCAGGGAAGGAGATTAAGATAGATAGATAGAGATAGAGGAAGGATAGATAGATGGAGTTAAGATAGATAGATATAAATAGGCTACGAATGTGTTGGATAGATAGATAGATAGATATAAATAGATAGATAGATAGATAGATAGATAGATAGAGATAGGATTCGAACAGGTTGAGATCGGTATAAATATGTTGAGATAGATATAAATAGGCTACGAAGGCAGGAAGGAGATTAGAGATAGATGAATAGATAGATAGATAGAGATAGATAGATAGATAGATAGATAGATAGATAGATAGATAGGTTGGAGATAGATAAATAGATAGATATAAATAGGCTACGAACAGGTTGAGATCGGTAGATAAATAGGTTGAGATAGATAGATAGAAATAGAGATTCGAAAGGTTGAGATCGGTAAGGAGATATAAAAGATAGATTAAGATAGATAGATAGATAGATAGATAGATAGATAGATAGATAGATAGATAGATGAATTCGAACAGGTTGAGATCGGTATAAATAGGTTGAGATAGATATAAATAGGCTACGAAGGCAGGAAGGAGATTAAGATAGATAGATAGATAGATAGATAGATAGATAGATGATAGATAGATAGACAGATGAGAGTATAAATAGATAGATAGATTCGAACAGGTTGAGATCGGATATAAATATGTTGAGATAGAGATAAACAGGTTGGCTATAAATAGGTTGAGATAGATAAGGAAGGCAGGAAGGAGATTAAGATAGATAGATAGATAGATAGATAGATAGATAGATAGATAGATAGATTCGATAGATAGATATGATAGATAGATAAATTACGAAGGCAGGAAGGAGGATAGATGAGATCGGATAGATAGAAATAGATATGTTGTTGAGATAGATATAAATAGGATATAAAATAGGCTACGAAGGCAGGAAGGATTAAGGAAGGAGATTAAGATAGATAGATAGATAGTATAAATAGGATAGATAGATATAAATAGATAGGATAGATAGATAGATAGATAGAGATTCGAACAGGTTGAGATCAGGTTGAGATAAATAGGTTGAGATAGATAGAAATAGGCTACGAAGGCAGGAAGGAGATTAAGATAGATAGATAGATAGATAGATAGATAGATAGATAGATAGATAGATAGATAGATAGATAGATAGATAGATCGGTATAAATAGATAGATATATAAATCGAAGGCAGGTTGAGATAGATAGGGATGGATAAATAGGATTGAGATAGACAGGTTGAGAAATATGTTGAGATAGGCTACGAAGGCAGGAAGGAGATTAAGATAGATAGATAGATAGAGATAGATAGATTAGATAGATCGGTATAAATAGATAGATATAAATAGATAGATAGATAGATAGATAGAATAGATGGATAGATAGATAGATATGGATAGGTTGAGATAGATGACATAAATAGGCCACCAAGGAAGGAATAGATAGAAGATGGATTAAGATAGATATGGAAATAGATTCGAATAGATGGAGATAGGTATGGATAGGTTGAGATAGATGTAAATAGGCTAGCTAGATAGATAGATAGATAGATAGATAGATAGATTCGAACTGGTTGAGATAGCTATAAATAGGTTATTAACAATGAATTATTTTCTAGTGTGTCTGCGTGAGAGTGGTAATGGCAATGCGTGTTAATACATACAATGCATATATAGTATGCTTACATAAAAATATTTTGTATGTATCTACGTACATGTGTAATTGACGTACATGTAAGAATTTAATATTACGGGGCGGGGCGTGGAGTGGGGGATCACTAGAATTTTAGAAATACCAAAGTGGGACATGACTCAAAATCGTCTGAGAACGACTGTACTAAATAAACGACCAGAACTCATCTCAAAATGCCGACACGAAAACCAATTTTTCCTACGTTACTTAAAAATCGAAAACTGAAAACGAACAAGAATAAACGAACACAAATAAAGAAAAGAAAATAAAGAAACAAAAACAAGTAAAATAAATTCATCCAAACAAATAACTTCTACTAACGCTTATAACTAACTAAACTACCGTTACTGGCAATTGAAACCTACTCAACTGAGAGTCAAATAACACAAAAATAAAAATACCAGAATATTTTCTTTTTGCCGTAACTCATTCTCTGATGAAGCTTTAATAAAAGTGAAACACGCCAGATTTATAAGCGTTTCCTATTTGTTTCTTCATCCTCTCATATATATATATATATATATATATATATATATATATATATATATATATATATATATATATATATATATATATATATATATATATATATATATATATATATATATATATATATATATATAGTTAGTTTATGCAAACTTAGGTAATCCGTATGGGTTGACCTGAGAGGATGATATCCAGAGAGCTCAATGTAAAATTCAGAGCAGATTGTAATAAGCTATTTCACCATGGTGAAATAGCTTATTACATGGAATCTTAACGTGGTCTGTTTTTATTCAAAAAAAATAATATATATATATATATATATATATATATATATATATATATATATATATATATATATATAGGTAGATAGATAAACCTAGTGAGCCAGACAAGCCTTCCCAGGTTTCACCTACCGCTTAGGTGAAACCTGGGTAGGTTTGTCTGGCTCACTAGGTTTATCTAGGTCTGCTCTACAGTTGTATTGAGCTCTTTTTAGTTAGTTGTTTACTCGTATCGTGGTTTTTTCTTTGGGCTTTAAACCTGTATCTGTGCGATTTTTTTCGATAGACTTTCATGTTTCTAGCTCTTTCTTTTTTTTAAAACCTTTTATTCCTTCGGGATTGATTTGATTATTGGCAAATCAAAAATTCGAGGGTTTTTCGAAACGAGTATAGTTACCTATATTTATATTTACAAAGCTCCAGTTTACTCTATCGAGCACTGTTTTAAATCATATATATATATATATATATATATATATATATATATATATATATATATATATACGAGAGTTTCACACTCTCGCTAACTGAACAACTAAAAAAAACGCCTTCTCGTCTAGGGCCTTCTAGACGTTTAAAGATCGCGAAAACATGAAGCTCAAGTAACGACTCGAATTGTTAAGAGTTGACGTTGGCAAGCGTTTTAACTCGATCTAGGTAATCTGAACGTTGAGCACCTTACTTTACTATGTAGGTAGGCAATGGTCTAAGGTGTTAGGCCCTCTTGCAAGTAGTTGCTTTTTTTCTTTAGGAGTAGTATATATATATATATATATATATATATATATATATATATATATATATATATATATATATAAAAAACAGGCACTTTAAGGAACCATTACAATAATTTATTTCACCAAAATCCTTTTAAAGGATTTCGGATCATCAGGTAACACTTCCAACAATGAAATGAAAGGGAAAATGTGATTTGAAATTGATGGGTAGTGTAATTTTTGTAATTAAACAGGGAGGGTGATGGTGGCGGTTAAAGAGACAATACAAAATATAGGGAGGGTTAAATTTATATCTCTCTTAAATAAGCTTTAAATTGGGGTAGGAGGAATGACCTAACCTTGACCTATTTATGTGGTTAAAGAAAAAGGAAGTGATATATAGGAATAGTGAGGAAAGGAAATAAAGTAAAAGGAAAAAAGAGAAAAAAAGTGGAAAAAAGCAGACGTATCCAAAAGAGTTTTATGGCAAAGAGGGAGGGGGAGAGGGAAGTGAATCGAAAGAGAGAAAAAGGGGGAAAAAACCAGACGTATTCAAAAGTTTTATGGTAAAGAGGGAGGGGGAGACGGAAGTGAATCGAAAGAGGCCGTAACTTTGTTTTAACAAAATTATGTAAAAGATAGATTACAATGTTTGATAGAAAATTAGGTGTCTTAAAAATTGGAAGATATTAATTTAAGTATTTAATTTTTTAAGTAAATAGTTTAGGGATTTAGTACAAGTTTACTATTGTAATAAATATATTTATCGAGAACATATTAAAGAAATATTTCAAATTACAATAGTTCATTTACCCGACAAATTGTGTTGCCACAATATAGGAAGAAAACTATGGTAACAATAAAATCTATATTAATATCTAAAATAATTTGTGAATGTAATTTTTATTTATTGTTATATTGGTAAGCTTAATTAAGGTTTAGGTTTCATTATTTAAAGGTATTAGAGGGTAATATTAAAGATTTGTTTTTTCTTATATATATCAGAAATATATTTCTATAAATTTATACATACATACTCACATTAACAAGTACAAATATACACATAGACACACATGTAACAATATACGCAAAAGATCATTCATCTTCATACATAAATTATATATACATTTCATAATCATAATCTATATTTAAATATTTGGAATTTATTTAGATTTAAGTTTGATTCCATAGTTGAAGTTTAAATTTAGGTAATTTTTGAAGTGTTACATATTATTAAAGGAAATTTGTTAATATTATTATTACTAGTTAAATAATGGTAAATTTAAATCTAAATTATCATTTTTAAAAAGAAATTCCCTTCAGAAGATAAAAATATACTCAACAAAACTAATTATAGAGCATTACAAGATAAGATGATATTAAATATTAAGAAAAGTAAATTTAAACGCAATTATAAAGATCTAATTTCTTCTATTTAAAACCAAATCATGCAAAAAAAACAAAAAAAAACACATATATAAATTATAGGTACCTCCACGAAATTGCTAAAAAAAAAAAAATATAGCATGAAAAAAAACGATGTAATAAATTTTTATCGGCTTAATATATATATCATTCTTAAGAAGAAACACTAAAGTATTTTTTGATTATTTTTAAAAAAATTTTACTCATTCTTATCAGGCCCGAAATTTTATTTAAAAATGTTTATTTCTGTCATCAAAATTACTTAAAAAAAGTAGCTATCAGCCATTTTTTTTCTAATTTTGTAAACAAGTTAAAATCCTCGTTTATAATTATTCCAAAAATCAATTCTACGTTTTTCAAAATTTATTTGACTAAAATTAGCAAATTTAAAGATTATTTAAAATATTTTGAAAGAAGCTTTTACTTGCTTTTTTCGAATAAAAAAATTGTTCGAAATAAAAAGTAAGCGATCTGAACTGCGTTGTCAATTTTCAAGTGCTGAGTGATGCCTGTCATCACATATCGACAGCTAACGTGAGATTCGCGTTATCATACGGGACGTAACGTTTTTTTTTTTTACGTGAATCAGCTTATGTACTACCCCGTAATTAGTAGATAATAAAAAACAAAAAATTAGCATTCCAATTTCCTTTATTTTGTTATTTTATTATTACTGGAACTTAAAACATAACTTTTTTGATACTATCTATAGAGATAATAAATACTATAAATAATGAAATCTACGCTTACACTCAAGTCACGTGACGTTTTATAGCTTGTGGCCTTCCGTACTTTTTAATGACAAACTATTTAAGGCTTTTTTAATCAAAACATAATTACATTTCTTCATTAGTGGGTATCATCGGATTGGTCCAAATTATACAATTTTCAAATCCCTAGACAATGATGAGCTAAGAAAGAGAAGTACAAAGGTGGATGGTGCTGTTAATTATTTTTATAAGTTTTTAAAAAATTTAATGAAAAAGTTTTAAAATTTCGATTTAAAATTAAAGAAATGAGAAATAATTGTATTAAAAATTCAATTTTCATTGAAAAAATTTTTTTTTTAGAAAATATTGTCCATATTCATACGAACAAATAAAAACAAATAAAAGCGTTTGAGATTAAATAGTATATTTGTTTTTATTGAGTTTTGTATGTTACAATTCAGAGCTGATTTTCAGGTACTGGGTCAATTAAAAAAAAAAAAAACATGATTTACATTCTTCAAAGCCTTGTGCTTTAAATATTGTAATCACTAAAAACCGATGGTATGGATTTTTTAGAGTTTTTCATAAAATTAGATATGGGGGTGTTAATAAATATAAAAAAAATATTTCTGCCATGACTTTAATAAAAAAAAAAAAACATTTTCATAATAATTTCGATCATCTGTGAATATTTTCTGAAAGTTTCATTAACATCTGACAATTATTTTTATTTTTGCAAGATTTTCCAAATTAATAGGTATAATACAAGAAAAACGCGCTAAAAATTATCTGTTATTTAGTACTCCTTATTGCAAAAAAGATAAACAAGGTTTTTTAATTCAAAATTTAGAATATTCTAAAAAGATGGAAAAATTTTGAAAAATAATTAAAAAAAAATTTGGTCTATCCTCTTCATAAAAACATAAGCATTTTGACGATAAAATTTTGTTTTCATAAATTTTGGCGTCTTTTTCCTCAGACTATGCTCTATTTTTTTGAAATGCCGTAGAGATACCTATAAATACATGTACACATATATATCCCTACATATACATACAATATACATATATACACATATATATACATATAAATCCACACACGTGTAGAATTCACACACTTATATATACATACATATAACGATACCTGGCACAAAAATAATGTCAATATTCAAATATGCCCCCCACTAGTATATTCATATTCGCACATACATATATATATATATATATATATATATATATATACACCCATACATATACACCCATACTTCCATACACATGTGCCTACAAATTAAAAAAAAAGATACATATATTAATATAAACACCCTTATCTATAATGTTCATACATGTATATGTAAATAGGTTCACATATAACAAAGTGTAAGTTCAACAACGCACATATATATCAAAGATCACAGTGTTCATGTGTTCATGCATTCATTTCAAAAAACAAAATTAATATTTTCTCTTTTTATATAGTTGTATCTACACATACTTTGTTAAGATGAGGTGGTTTTTGTGTCTACATTTACATATCAACTCGTTATGCCTGTTCAATAATATGTCCGGATCCTTATGTTTTATTATTAGGATTTTTTCCATAATGCACAAATTGCATCGGTCTCTGAAATTTATCGGAGTTTTAGCTTTTGAGATGATTTTCCATTTAATTTGTGGGGTTAATTTGTTTTCCAATAACTCCCAATAGTGCTTAGAAAGTGCAGTTCTTCATAACTTATATATATATATATATATATATATATATATATATATATATATATATATATATCAAAATATTTTTACAAATTTTGTGGTGTAGGTTCCTCACACCAAAACAAGGACAAAAGTTCATATAAACATATGTCCACAAATCTTTCATTTTTGAAATCTGTTTAAAGTTTATGGTAGACACTGTTAAATGTACAATCCAAGACATAATCCAAAAATAGTTTTACAAATTTTGGGGCTGGTTTCCTGAGACTAAAACAACGTCAAATGTCCTTATAAACATGTGTCCAAATGACCATCACTGTACCTCAATACAGCAACTCATATAAAAAAGAAAAATCGAAAATTATAAGCAGTCATTTACTGACACACTCTGACCTGTGGACGAACGCTTCCGTCTACGAAACTCTGGAGTCGGGATGATGAAGGTAACATCAATCAGCTAAGTGACAAACATGTTACTTGAATTAATTTAATTATATATATATATATATATATATATATGTGTGTGTGTGTGTGTGTGTGTGTGTGTGTGTGTGTGTGTGTGTGTGTGTGTGTGTGTTTGTGTGCCTGTGTATGCAAAATTTAAGATATAACTGAAATATATCTGTAAAAGGACAATGCCTTGATAAAGTCCATTAGAGATGAAACGCATCGGCAAAGATAAGTTTTCTTTGTCTTTATATATATATATATATATATATATATATATATATATATATATATATATACATATATATATATATATATATATATATATATATATATACAAAGTATATGATTGGTGTATACGGAATGAATTCCAATAACCAACAATTACTAGGGTGTTGAAACAAAATGGCTATTTTTGTAGTGATTTTATAACATATTTATGTTATAAATTTTTTAAATAAATAAATAAATATATATATATATATATATGTCATACATATATATATCATATATATATACCATATATATATATATATATATGTCATACATATATATATATATATATATATATATATATATATATATATACTATATATATATATATCATATAGATATATATATGATATATATATATATATCATAGATAGATAGATAGATAGATAGATAGATAGATAGATGTGTGCGTGTAATGTATTAAACAGCTCTGTCAATTACTTGGTATCTCAGCGTAAAGTCATATCCTTAATCCTTAATCCTCAATCCTTTGAGCCCTGACCACCGTTTTACCGGTGGTAGAGAAAAATGACGTAATTCGCAGACACCGGTTGAATAGTAGTAGAGAAAAATGACTAAATACCCAGCTACCGTTTGAACTGTAGGTAAACACTTGTAACCATTTTTATATCTACCGTGAATCATTACATACCAATTATGTACGAATATTGACTCAGGAGCTCAGGACGCAGAAGAGTTAAAATTGTTCAGGAACGCATGGCTCAAATGTTTAATAAGGCGCTCCATCCTTAGTAAATAACATTTCTAGCAATTGGTGGCTAAATGCCAGGGATGACATGATGGACACATTTGTTTCGCCTCTAACTTGTGTAAACAAAGCCTTTAGAATAAGGACAACATTCAGAGACGTCAAACATTCTCTACATTCCGAGATAAAGCTGGCGGGATCAAGACGCCATTTCTTCCTCACCCGGGTTAATCTTCGTTTAAATAAAGCGTACATGATATTCTAAAATTCCGTTACAAAAGCACCATTCTCTTCTTCCGTTTTTTCTATGGGCAGAATTCAAGAGTAAACCAGATATCGCCAGGTCAAAGATATTGGATAGATGCAAAAGTTTCCCGTGCCATCGTTTTCACGATGTTAACGAAATCTTAGAAGTGTTAAAATCCATTTTAGCTCCCAAGCTTTACTTCCCCTTGTTGTCCGAGGGTCCTAATATTATATCCTAATTTTTTGTACAAGATACTTTGTTTTAACATTGTTTCATATATGAGGCAAGGGTATCATAATTCGTATTTATTAACCCCAAGCCATCGGTGTGTCGTTCGGCTCCTGAGTCCATTTTACAACCCAGACTCCCACACGCCTACACGAATGCATGGTACAGCTCTGTGTATGTAAAAACAAAAAAAAATGACCCCCCAAAAAAAAATTGCAAAAGAAAAAAGAAATAAAAGACCAAAAAATAAAAAAATATTTAATTTGGTGTGGGATGTGGTTCTGGTGTACCATGATCTCATAAGCAGTTAATCATAGCATTCCACTTCCAAATAATCCTCCTAGAAAATAAATTGGAAAACGATCCACCGGAAGGTTGTGTGGGCCTTGCAGACATACCACCATGACCCTCAGTTAGTTCGTGGGGCGAGGGGGGCAACGTGTTAAAGATAGGCTAATTGTTGCTTCCTTGTATCGTTATCTTTTTCCCGATGTTAACGAAATCTTAAAAGTATCTTTAAAGATAAATTGGCTAATTGTTGCTTGCCTGTGCATCCTGCTTGAAGAAAAAGCGATAATTTTAATTGATAGAACATCTTAGCGTCTTTATTTTCATTGCAATCGTTTTTATTGTTGTTGCTGTTATTTCAACATAAATACTGAATTAAAAGAAAACAATCCAAATAGAAACCATTAAATGCTAGCATTAGAAACTTCCGTTTTCTTGAAGGTCCTTTGTAAAACTGTTGTGAATTCATTCCTAAATCTTAAAAGAAAAAAAGTAAATAAAATTAAGGTACAGTTTATTTCTATTACGAACAGTCTTTTAAAAAACCTTAATTCTTGCCCGCCAGTATAAGGACCAAAGACAACTGAGGCTGGACTGAATAAAAATAAAAAGACCCAAAGAAAAAGCCTTAAAAATAGCCCTGTTGTAAAAAAATAAAAAACTCGCTCTTGGTTCAAGTTTTGCGAAGGAGGAACAAAAGGATGACGACTAGGGTTCAATCGAGCGGACATTTCGACTGGAAGAGAGTTGGAAAGGTCTTACCATATTCCATCATCATATTACCATATTCTAGCAAGATAACTTTTTTCCAATAGAAACCAACCAATCAGTAGCCATGAACTATAATCTTTTTTAATTCTCTTGCAGTTTTTGTTATTATTATTATTGTCGTTGTTGCAATTGTTGTTATATTGATACATTTATAAATATGTCGACCCAAGAGGAATGTGCTGACGTTACAAAATGGCTTAATAGTTCTACATTAACTTGAAACTATTTCAATTAAAAAAAAAGACATTAAAATGTTAAATAGAAGCATATTACAAATTTAACTCCAGTAAAAACTATCGTTGTAAAAAAAAAAAAAAAAAAAAAAAAAACACGCTCTTTGTTCAAGCATCCAGAAGGAGGAAGCGAAGGATGACAACTATGGTTCAATCGATCGGACGTCTCGACTGTAAGAGATTTGCAAAGATCTTACCATATTCCCTCATCATATTACCATATTCTAGTAAGATAAGCTGTTTCCAGTAGCAACCAACCAATCAGTAGCCATTAACTATTATCATCATTAACTACTTTGCAATTGTTGTCATATTTACACTTGTTGTAACTGTTGTTGATATTGTTGTTTCAATTGCTATTGTTATACAGGATGCGATGGGTAAGTTCTCACAATTTTATATTTCTAATTTCGCGCATGACCGTTGTTTGTATTTGATTTTGTCGACGGCACAGTATAGCGGGATCAGTTGGGCACTGTCAGTGAGAAAAAGAGCACCATGATGCAATTCACTCTGCCAGAAATTTGAAAAAGCATGCTGTACTGCTTGGCATTCGCGCCGGTAGCTCCAATGCGAACATTTCAGAGTGTTTGGGTGTCAATCTGAGAACAGTGCAGAGGATTCGGAAAGAGTTGGATGAGTTTAATGGTGATTACGAAGGTACGGCAGATGGGAAAACTCACCCTGATCTTTTTTATAAGAAAAGAACTCCCGAATTTGTTGGTGATAGCTTCAGACTCAACACGGAAGCCTACGTCAAGTTCCTTGAGAAGGTCGTGCTCTCCTGGACCAAGAGGGTGGCTGCTGGAAGACCCTATGTCTTGCAACAGGACTGTGAACTGTGCTACACAAGCAAGAGAACCCAGTCATAGCTGCCAGACAATTTCTGCAACCTCATCAACCATTATATCTGGTCATCTAACTCCCCAGACTGCAACTCCCTTGATTAATATGTGTGGGACGCAGTTGAGCGAGAGACTAACAAAACTCGTTGTAACATCAAAGATGAACTGAAGACAAGGATTATGGCAGCATTCACCAACTTAAACATGGAGAGCGTCCAGAAGAGATTCCGAGGTCGTCTGGAGGCCAGTGGTGATTTTATTGAATAAATTTACTCTTTAGTATTTCAAGATATTTTTGTGTAATTTTGATAAAATATATCTGTTAAAATGAGATATTAATGTTATTTTCATTTTTGCATAATTTAGACAATTTATCCATCACACTCTGTATTGATACATTTAAGAAGGCCAAAGAGGAATATGCAGATGTTACAAGATGGCGAAATAATTTTACATTAACTCAAAACAATTTTAATGTTTAAAACAATGTCTTTATTCATAATAATAAAAAAGATTATTTTAAAATTTTAAATAGAAGCATGTTACAAATTTTATTCCAGTAAAAGATATCGCAACCTCGTTATCGAATGCGTTCTCCCACTGCAGACATTTCTTATCAAAGCAATTCTCGAGATTCCATGTGCCAATATAGACCAATTGTGGCACAAAGCCAATCAAAGTCGTTCTCACACTGCAGACATTTTTTATGAAAGAATTTCTCCAACGGAAATGTCTATCGTATGCGTTTTCAAAATGTTCGTTATCGGCACGTGTTCCCACGCCTCAGACATTCTTTATCAAACGTGTTCTTCCACGGCAGAGATTTGTCATCGACATGCGTTCACCCACTGCAGACAATCTTTATCGAAAACGTTCTCCCACTGCAGACATTCTTTATCGATCACGTCCTCCCACTGAAGACATTCTTTATCGAACGCGTTCTCCCACTGAAGACATTCTTTATCGAAAACGTTCTTTATTAAACTCGTTCTAATGCTGTAGGCATTCACGTTTTCTCAGATTCGAATATCTTCTCGGCATTTATTTGGGAGGGTCGTGTTCATGTGCCGACAAGTCTGTAACTGCAATTGCCAAACATTTTATTAAAAAAATCGAGTTTCTGTTGAAACCTTTCGTATTGACATGAAGTGATAATTCAACAAAAGATGGCGATTGACGGTTCATTTAAATTTTGAAGATCGTAGGGGACAGGAAAGCAATAAATAGGGAGAGAGTCTCGCAGACGAGGAAAGAAACTATTAGTATTGAACCGACGGCTGCATCTAGTTAGTTCCACAGTAAAACGCCACACTGTACAAAGCCTAAGAGCCACTCGAGTTAGAGGGTTACAGAGTAAAAGACTCGGTTTATGGGAATATCTGGGGAAGATAACAGTTGACTGCCAGTCTGGTAGTACACTTTGATTCATGCGGTCGAGGAACCAAGGAAAAACAATTACTATGAAAATATTTATAGAAAAAAGAGAAGGAAATCCCGTCACTGGGACGAGAAAGTGACTGGAGTCAAGATGCCAGGTAAGGATTGATTATATCAAATTTTGTAAATGATAGGCAGAACAGTGATCTGGAGAAATAGCAAAAAGACAAAATTTACTAAGAGCTACAAAATACAGGAAATTGTGGCGAGCCATGATCACCAACATTCTGAAGGAACACGGCACAAAGAAGAAGAATTCTATGATAGACTGATTTATTTTTACCTCTTATCAAGCCTTTGTAGCTTATTGACGTTGCATTTAAATCTTTGTAACTCGTCAGTGGCAAGGAAATAAAAAAGTGGAAGAGAGTTACATAGACAAGAAGTGTGAGAGAAGATACTGTAAGAATAGAACTTACGGTTCTATTTCAACAGTAAAATCATAAGACCTAATTGCCAATCTAGTAATACGCTTAAATTCATGTGTTCGAACTACCATGGATGAAAACTCTTTAGAATAATTGCCATGAAAATAAAGTGACTGAAATCGAGCTGTCAGGTCAGGACTGATACTGTTACAAATTCTTCTTTTGGATTTTGTCAAAAATCTGGAGATCTATAGCAGCAACACCAGACCAGATATTGTAGTAATGTTCAATACAGGGATAATGACGATTTAACCCTCCGGATATCCTCTATCTTTAGAAGAGCCAGAATAGAGTAATGCTCTCATATATGAACTGGAGCTGCACAGTCTTCACTTTCAATCGCTATTTTTTGGTAAGTCTTTAGACAAATATACATTCCTTAATTCCACCAGTTCTAACTTTCACTGCTAAGATCCGCCATGCTTTATAGAATCACGTATTACATTGGCGAGATGTAAGTTCCACTTGAGCAGCTGCTTTGTGGAACCGACTCTCGAGAGAATGCTTCCCCGATCACTACAACTTTTAATCTGTTGAAGTCTAGGGTCAACCGTCATCTTCCCCGGATATTCCCATAAACCGAGTCTCTTACTCTGTGACCCTCTAACACGAGTGCCTCTTGGGTTTTGTACAGTGTGAGCATCATTGAAAGAAAAAAGATGGATTCTGACGAGAAAAAATATCTGACACAACACAACTTTCCTAGCAGCAGACATGGCAATTTATTCAATGTAATCATACCATTTCATGCCAGCGGAAAACATGAGACCAAGAAAGCGTAGGGTTTTTCTCCTTTAAGGTTAGCATATTTTGTGAAATGTTTCTTATCATTAAAGTCCGGTGTTCTGGTTGTATGTTATTGTGAATAAACCTTGTTCGAAAAACCACCTTTTGTGTAAGGTTTGTAGTAATTTCTAATGGCTGTCATTTGGCGAAGCGGACAATAAGAACCTCAGGAGAATAAGCTACCATTTTGAACTTTTACTTATATTTGCTTGACATGAAGTTCTTCGTCGTTTCTCTTGAGGAATTGACTGACAATTGTGATGACGCAGAACAGCAGATCAAATAGAAATTTCGTCCACTACTAAATCCATCTCCCTATTGAGGCCTACTTCTAGTAGGGCGCGTGTGGCTGAATGATCAGAGCTTTAGTGATCTGTCTATAAGTCCCGTGTTCGAATCATAGTTGAAAAGTCTTAGTTGTGGCTTCTTGGTCATATCTAAATGGGAGATGATTCCAGCATATGTCACCATAGTGAAATGCCTGAAAATCAAACAACAGGCTGACCTGAATAAAACTGGATCTACGAAAATGTTTGGAAGGCATTAATGGATGTGATTTATGAAGAGTCATTATTGTGATTCTTGTATGTGCAAGTAAATCATGTTTTGGCATTAAAATGACCCATAAGAGATTGATGTGTCGTTAAACAATGAACGGAATGGAAAAATGTAATAAACACTTGTCAGCATGAAAAATGAGCAATATCCTTATCTTCGTGTCATTTTTAATGTATTATTATTATTATTGTTATTATTATTATATACTGTTGTAACCTAGGCAAGATAACTAAGTAGAATAATCAAACGAAGGTTGGTAATGAACGATAATACTTAGGACAAGAACAACACATATAAGATTTGCCAGCGGCGCGTAGAAGTAATCAACTGCTAGAAGTGAATTCCACAATGAATCTCCAACTGCAGGATATCTACCAACCACCCAACGCGGTCAGATGCGGCATAAGACCGAGTTTAATGTGGAATATTCGAGCCCATAGGCACGACCAAAAATTCCCCGTAGATCCCATATAAAACGGGGTCGAGTAGCTGATCCCTTGACGAGACTCTGACCTTCGACATAGCCTCGTCTGTGGATCCTCTATGCTCGGAGGCAGAGAGTTTGACCAGCACATCAATCTCCATCTCTAAACCACGTACAGTATTCACTACTGGATTTATGTGAATGGGCGGCATACCCATTATTGTCCGTAGGTATATTAGAACATATACACATATTAAATACTTCATATACACTTTCTAATACTATCGCTTGAGATGAAAGACAAGTGTATATAAAATATGTAATATGAGTATATAATAATAAAGATAATAATAAAGATTTTAAGAAATGCCCTCGTATCTGAGGACGCCAGTCTACTAGGGTGTCTTGACAATCCCTACTGCTGGCTGCTACGAATAGGCAGGAAGATTCTATTGACCAGCGTGAGAGCCAACAGCTGACTGACACGAATGTTAACTAGCATGCTAGCATGCAAAAAAAAATCGATAGCTGCATTCGTCACAAGTGGGACAAATTTAAATCTGCATGGCACTTTACTCCAATTGGCTCATTCGCTTGCTTAAACTCAACGTTGATTCTGATTCCGCAGAACTGGGTTGGGTGTGAAAAAGTATTTGTTGTTAACATTCTTTTTTCATTCGGTTTTTCCAGTTACGAGTCCTTTTTTAAAGCTGATCATTTTGTGTTTATTTTGTTTAATTCTTTTTTCGTAACAGATTTAATGTTTAATATAGAGTTTAGAATAAATTCTCAATGTGAGATAGGCAAGAAGTAAGGCATGTAGCAACATCAGCACCGGAAAATGGCACTCCTTTAAAGGCAAGGAAGGGCAAAAATATTTTAAGTCAAGTCTTTGCTGTATGAGTCGTACGATTTTTGAATCAAGCACAGGCAACGCCGGGCTATGCTGCTAATAATAATAATAATAATAATAATAGTACGTAATAAATATTTGATTCGTATCGTCCCTTAGGTAATATGTGCTTAGCTGAATTCAAATTGTAGCGCTTCCATTCTGCTTTTCTGGCGAGAAGGGTGGCTAGATACACAGCAGGATTAAAATCAAAACCTTGCAAAGGGCGGATAAGGCTTCTTTTCAACAGCCATCTTGCACAATGCGGTCGGATGGGCTCCATAAGTACGTACTCAGCCAGTGCAGTGAGGACATGACATCGCTGGGCAGAGGGCATCCTAGCCTGAAGACAACGGTCAGTGTAGAGGTCCCCCGCCCTAATGGTATCAATGGCAACGTGTTGGTGACCAAGGCGAGTCTTCAGGTTAGAAAAACATCAGCTGTAGTTTGAGTGATGGCCTCCACCAGATCTGTTAGCCCAAAATACGTTCTGCATGACTCAATCCTTCTTCGGTTTTCAATCCAGATATGTGTAGGGAACTAGCCAAGCACACAGCTGCGCAACGTCCCTACGACCACGACCGGTCATGAGACTGATAAAGATGCTGATGATATTTATTCAAACAGAACGAGATCGTTTAATGTTCTTATCGAGAGAATCTATAATAAAATGATTTTATTTCATACATACTCTGCCCGAAAATAGCCGAATGGTGATTGTAATGGTGAGAGGCTGCCTTACTTAAGTAGTAAATTATAAATCGTAATTCTAAATCCTGTAGTACTGGTGATAAACACTGCAAATATTTTACTAAGTTGGCAGGACTTTTACCATTCCTGACGCTTAACTTAATCGGTATTAAGGTGAAATGGAAGGCACTGGAACAAGGAAAGACTGTGTTGCGCCAAGTGAACAGGAGTTTGTATAATTTGCAAAATAATCAAGTAGATGAGAAGATTATGTTACGCCAATCTTCCAAACGGTGTGATCTTCTCAGCTTTGAAAATCAGCACTTAAAATCCTGAATTTTACCTATGGTCGAACACAGATGTTAGTTGATTTTGTAGCGGAATATCAACCTCTATGGCAGGCATGGACAAAACGAGGCTTGCGAGCAACAGGCGACTCTTTGACCTTTAATATGCGCCTCATGCAATTATGTTAGCTGAGCTCTATTTTCTACAGTATAAAAAGAAAAAAATCAAGCTTTATAATCAACTAGCAGTAGAGTCCGGCGTTGCCCGGGAATGTAGCAGTAAGAGATAGATCAAGTATCGACCATCATAAAGACTGAAAAATAAAATTGACAAAGATTATTGTTTAAGGCTGACGGACACGCAGGTCTTAAGTAGTTTGTTTTTTTTTGGGGGGGGGTACGAATTGGTCAAACCCAAACTCAAACAAAAACATTGTTTTCAATCGTTATGAGTCTATCGATTGAATAGAATTTTATTATAAACAATTGTCTGGTAAATGTAATTTTTAAAGCATTCTGAATGTAAAAAAATAAAGAAAAAAGTGTACAAGACAATAAGAAACACTACCTGCCAAACAAAAGTGAAGTTTTGTTGAAATCGGTTGAAAAATGTAGGAAATCCGATCCCATATATAAACGAACACACACACATACAAACAACCTGGGTTTTATAATAAGTATAACTCGATATGAGTTGTCCCCCTTTCATTCTGGCGGGAGAATCGTGTTTTACCGTGTTTTCAAATTGATTTCATGCAAAAACAATTGTGTTTTTTCAATTTTTGGCACTGTCAGAACCACCGCAAGGTAATTTTACGCAGTCCTGTGAAGTTTTGTTGAAATCGGTTGAAAAATATAGGAAATCCGATCTAATATATAAACGTACAGACACACACACACACACACACAATCTGCGTTTTATAATAAGTAAGATTACTGGTTATGAATTGAGACCCCATTGGTTTAAAGCGTAAATTTAATTTTAATGTGTATGTACCAAAAACTTATGTTTAAATTTGGTTCATGTCTTGTGGCTCCCAAACATCTGAACTTTATCATATATGACTCTTGCATTAAACATGTTTGGTTACCCTTGATCTATGGGTTAATTAATGACGAAATCTAAATATTTTCCACACAATTTTATGCTGAAAATTACCGATATTTCCTACATTATTTTATACTTTCAGGATATATATATATATATATATATATATATATATATATATATATATATAAAATATTTATATATATATATATATATATATATATATATATATATATATATAAATATAAATATATTGTTTTTATAGTAAAATTATCAAATTATACAATATATATATAATATATATATATATATATATATATATATATATATATATATATATTGTATTGTTGATAATTTTTACAAAAAATGTATTTTTATATTTTTATATATATATATATATATATATATATATATATATATTATTGTATTGTTGATAATTTTACTATAAAAATGTATTTTTATATTTTCTTAGTGTTGCATTGATTGTCATTTTGCTATAAAGTTGTATAGTTCGCCATTTTATTATAAAAATGTGCTGTTCATTCTTGTTTGGGAGTTCAATATTTGCCCATAGCTGGGACCCAAACAGGTGCTACCACTCCGGGTACGAGTGGACCTAAGAACAACAGCAATTGAGAGGTGGTTCAAAGCTACTCAGAAGTTTCAATCTCGCGAACAGAGGTCGTGCTGACAGATGTCGTTTATCATCATACTCAGGACTATCAAATGCAGAACCTGTAGCTCAAGAGGAGTGCGTAACTATTTTAACCAATAGACAAGACATCGTTCCTTCTAATTATTTGTTAAGTTTGATTAAGCACGTCAAAAGATTATGTTCCACTATTCTTTCAAATTGGGTTCTCTTTTGAAATTCAGTATTCAAAGTCCCTGCTTTGACTGAGCTCGAACACGGGTTAATACCGGTTGGAAATATATAAAGTCTTGCGTTTATTTGTTTATTTTTATTTCCTCAGGTATGGGATAAACTTGCAGAAATTGATGGTGCTATTCATAATCTGTGGACTGGACTTAAACGAAAATCACTCGACAATTGTGTCAACCTTGTAATCGTCTCAGATCACGGTAAACAAAATTTCTTAACATTTATTTATTAGAACAAAAATGCTTCCTGTCAACCTAACGGTTATCAGCGCGAAAATTGGAATCGGTGAACTGGGTTCAAATTCATGCCTAGTCTGTGTGAGTTCAATTACGAATGCATTCCCTAGACAAAGGCAGTGTTGATTTATACGGTACACACGTCACACACAGATACACACACACATATATATATGTGTGTGTGTGCGCGCGCGTTTCATTGAATATGACAGACAAGGAAAATTTGATCAATTTTTATTTAGTTTTCTAATATCCTTACATTTTTCCGTTTGGTGAGAATAAATCAGTGCGTAAATGGTCCGTATTGTTCATTATCCCAAGCGCTTTCGGCCACTTCTTTAGCTATTTTCAAAGGGGGTTTGCTTTTAGGTGTTGTTAATTTCTTTTTTCATGTTTAAGATGCTTTTTTTGTGTTGTTTTGAATACTAGGAGAGGTGTTTATTCCGAGGTTCGCTAATTGAGTGCGGCTGGAAATCAAATGAGCGTCTTTTTATTTTAAAAAAAACCCTTCAACACACCATTTCTGCTGCTGAATAAGGTGAGATTTATACTGGGTGCGAGATGTTTCATATAAAGAGCCTCTCTCACAGAGTGATATTTTCGATAATGTGATTTATATAAAATGCTAGAGTTTTCGACCAGAATCTTCCTTAAGATGTTCTTGTAAATTGTGGTGGGTTAGTGTCTTTTATATCACCCTTCACATTCAGTGGATCTCGAGTCTTGTATGAATTTTAATATAAAAAACTAAAACAGTAAGCCTCCAACTTGAGTGGCGTTCAAGCCATCTACTCTGTCAATTTTAGTATAACCAACGAAAACAGAAATACTTCAGCTTCAGTTATTCTCGAGTTTAGTATTTGTGTGGATTTTAGTTTTAAAAAAATCACGATAAAAAATTCTCCGTTGTCTCAAGTCCCTTCTTCAATAACACTAAGTATATTATATTTGTATTCATTTTCGATCATTTCATATTGAGAGGAAGCCCTCACCCAGAATAAAATAAATTATCAGTATAAAATCGGAACTTTCAAGAATGGTCGTCACCCAGGTAATGGAATAAAACTAAAACATTATGAGAAAGGATATTGTATAGACGGTGGCATTCCGAAAAGCTTATGAAAGGTCAATTATTGAAAGAATTACTATAAAATGGCAACTATCAAATCTTCCGCGGAACAAAATACTAATGTCGTCAAGTCAAGATTTCAGAGTTCGAACTGTGGTGACTTTTTTTTTTTTTTTTTCGTGTTGCATTTTGTTTTCCTTTCAAGATCGAATACGGGATTTATAATACCGAAAAAGAAATTAAAAGATGAATAATTTTTTTTTTTCGTTTCAGGCATGTCAAGTACTTCATCAGAACGAATATTCAATTTCCAACCCTATGTCTCTTCACAAAAATGGTCAGTGAACGGATATGCATTTACAGTAGTTCAGGCTAGGAATAATGTTTCAGCAAATGACATTGAAGGTATATATTGTTTTGTTGGTTTTTTTTTTTAATATTGTTTCTATTGTTACCGTTGTTTTGTATGTACACATACACGCGCACACATCTGATACACCGTTTGCTGGCTTCCGTCAGTATCGCTGATGCTAACCTCCAATAGAGTGACTCGTTGTACCTTCTTGGGTTAACACATTCGGCTGAAATGAAGTGAAATGAGTCCACTGAATCCACTGAATCCATTGCTAAGAAAGTTGGTTTACTGTGCCATCCTGGATAATTTTCTCTCTCCAAAATCTATCTTACATATCTATAAGTCTACTATTCATCCACGCTTAGAATTTTGCTAACACATATTGTCTAGTCTTCCTGCTACATATTTAGAGATTTTTGATAAAATCCAAAGAAGAAGAACCAGCAATATTATTGGTACTGACCTGGCATCTCAGCTTCTGTTACTTTCCTACAGCCGTAAAATTGTTTCCCTGTGCTTTTTCTATAAAAGATCTTTCGTGATATTTGTTCGAGTGAGATTTTCCTTATGGTACCTGACTCGTTACGCCTTTTCGGGCTAACGTTCTCTGCCGACATGAAGTGGAAAGATTATATTGAATCAACTGCTAGGTTTGCTGATTGGCTCACTTTGACGTGCTAGACAATTTTTATCTCCAGAATCTATCTTAGACATTTATAAGTTTACCATTCGTCCATGCTTAGAGTATTTCTGCCATATGTGGTTCGGTGCTCTTGCTATATATTTAGAGATTTTTTTTTTAAATCCAGAGAAGAATCTGCGATGTTAATGGTCCTGACCAGACATCTCGGCTTCAGTCACTTTTCCCACGGCCGTATCGAGTGCCTGTATTCAAATTTCCTCCATTAAATACTTAAAAAGTTTTTCATTTTCATTTTTTTCCTTTTACTTTCACTTTTAGTAGCTCTACTCAAATAAGTTTTTGAGTCTAACAAGGCAAAAGGTATACGTTTTCTTTATTTTCATTGGCTAGCAGTATATATATATATATATATATATATATATATATATATATATATATATATATATATATAGAAACATATATACTATAGGCCATCACGTAGAAACATAGATCACCGAAAATTAAGCAACATCAAGCATGGTTAGTACCTAGATAAGTGACTGCTTGGTAATACCAGGTGTTGTATCTTTTGATATGCGAGTGGTGTAGTGGATAATTATTCGTAATTGGAAATTGGCGAGCCGGGATCAAATTCCAGTCGAGTTCGTTATATTTACTTATGTGCAATTATTCTTGGGAAGTTATAAATCCACCACTTATCCCCCTAGCTATGTGTTAAGTAGTAGAAATTGTATCAGTAAATCATTACTTCCTAAATAATTCTTATAATCTAAAAATATTTTCGGTCTTTAAATAACCTACAAAGGCTTGTGATAAAAACAACAAAGATGATGATACTTTCCCCTAAAATGAGCATCATAAAGATTGTTTATACTAATTATTTACAAAGGTTCAATGAGGTCAATTGTTTGCTTTTGTCTAGCTTAGCAACAAAATCTTCAATTTTTTCACCCTTGGATATATACTGATAGGAAATATTCAACTATTTTAGCCACCAAGCAGGAAAAAAATTATCTTAAGACTTTTGTCATGAATACTTGATATATATATATATATATATATATATATATATATATATATATACCCATATAATTACATGAATCATTCATCAAAAACAAATATAGAGGTTAATGATTTAAATGGGCGAGAATACATCTTCGCAAACAATTTCATTAGATACACTAACCCCGAACCTGTATATTTAATATATGATGACAATGATCTGAATTTTTTATTATGGATCAGAAAAATTAAAAAATGATATGATCCCCTGTTTATAAATTCCAGTTGCATAAGGTCTTTTTTAGTTTTTACAAACGCTTTCGTCTGTTCCAAAACAACAGACAATAAAAATAATAAAGAAGCCCTATCCTGGTATAGAAAAATAGATTTGTTCTTGTTTTTTACTTCTCAATTAGTAAGAAGAGGACAACGAAAAAATAGAGATGTAATCGTTGCTTAGTTTGCAAACATTTAGTAAAAAATGCTACCCAAAAAATGTGTTATTGTTTTGAAACGATATATTGTGAGTCGAAACAATTTTGAGTTTGAATTTTAAATTTCAGGATTAGAAAAACTGCAAATGTTTATTAATAGATTCCGATTTTACTTCCACATTCACACGCAGAAAAAAAAAGAAACATATTGGATTTTTTGTACAAATATAGTAATAGGGAGTTTTAAATTCTTTTTGTACTTTAGATATAGTAAAAAAAATTTTTTAAAAGGTTTAGGAATTTTACCCCAAGGAAGGCGATAATGCCTCTAAGACGTAAAAACTTTTTTCTATATATACTATACGTGACTCTCATTATGCTATATATATATATATATATATATATATATATATATATATATATATATATATAATATATCCAAATATATATATATATATATATAAATGGCGAGAATACATCTTCGCAAACAATTTCATTAAGATAATCGAATATAAGAGTACCGAATATAAGATCCTGTTTATAAACCAGTTGATAAGGTCTTTTTTTTAGTTTTATAACCGTCTGGATATAAGAGATTTTCTCTGGTCCCGACAACCTCTGAGTTGAATTTTATATCCGGGTTACACTGGTATATATATATATATATATATATATATATATATATACTCTTTTAAGAATAGTAATTGTTGGTTATTTTCATTCCGTGTATACCAAAAAGAGGAAAAGAAAAAAAAAAACCTGTGCATCACAGAATCATTCTTGTTCTTATATGCGTCTTGTCTCTTTGGGACGTGGACGATCATGGCTCTCCACAATTTCCTGTATTTTGTAGCTCTTAGTAAATTTTGCCTTTTTGCTATTTTTCTTATCCCTGTTCTGTCAATGTTTATTCAATTTACTGCAATATAACCGAGTCTTACCTGACATCCCGACTTCAGTCACTTTCTCGCCCCAGTGACGTGATTTCCCTCTTTTCTGTTTTCATAGTAATTGTTCTGATGAGATTTCTTTCTTGGTTCCTCGACTGCATGAATCTAAGCGTAATACTAGACTGACAGTTAGGTCTCACCGTTTTACTGTTGAACTAACTAGATGCAGCCGTCAGTTCTATTCTAATAGTTTCTTTTCTCTCTCCCTATTTCTTGCTTCCCTGTCACCTAAGATCTTCAAAATTTAAATGAAGCGTCAATCGCCATCTTCTGCTGATTTACCGCCCCCTAGTGATAATCACGGGAGGCGAGATTTTGAATTAGCGCCCCCAAACGATAATTATAGGTGGCGCGAGATTTGATAGAATCCGCCTCTTTCTCGGTGACTTTTCATAGCGAAAAGACGTATTCTTTTCTCCCCAGTAAAAATGTAAATTCCTCAACTATAGTCACTGAAGGTTGCTTCGAACTCTTCACATTTCATTGCATTTCGCATTTTTCCTTTCTTGAAATATTCTAATAATATATTTGTGAATATTTCCTTCAAATTCTATATTTTATTTTGCCTTTGAACTTACACGAGTCCCCTAAACCGTTTGCGTGTTCGATGTACAAGGAGCATAAAAAAATCTCATCAAAAGATAATCTTTTATCTTCCTGAATCCTGTTCTTGTATTTTTCTTTCTCTTCACTTATCTCTTCCCATTCTATTTCCCTCTTAGTAACCCTTTACGTCTTAGAGGCATTATCGCCTTCCTTGGGGTGAAACGATTAACAACTTTTCTGAATAAAATCAATAGAGTATTGGTTGTAATAGTTTTTATTCGGAGTTCATTCAATATGGAATAAAAGCAATTTATCGGAGGTCGACTATACAACATTAAATAATCTCATTTAGATTTAGTCAATGACTACGTTATTAACTATATTTCTTTACATTTCTATATCTTATTTTTCCTTTGGACTTACACGAGTCCACTAAATTGTTCATGGGTTAAACATACAAGGAGCATAAAAAATCTCATCAAAAATGTGAATACCGACAACACCGAGTTTTTATTGTCTTTTCTCTTCACTGAAATCTTCTCATTCTCTTTCACTCCCAGTAACGCATTGCGTCTTAGTGAAATTATCGTTTTACTCGGGATAAAATAATTTAAAGAAATACATCCGGAGAATATAAAAGTTCTTTATGGCATTATTGAAGCAAATAAAGAAGCAGAAAACGTTCATTAATGGAACGAATTTAATCCATTAAAATAAACGCAATGACCCACCGATCCTACGTCAATTAATCGACACTTGCTTGTTGGCTAATCTTTGAAGATCTCTCAAACAGGTTTGCTCATAACATTCAATAGTGCATCTTAAGGTGTTTGCATTCATTTTTGCTTCTTTCTTCATCCTTTTTAGTTTTCTCTTGTTATTGCAACAATAACCGGCCCAGATTTTTTTATACTTTTGTTTCTTACTTCAAACCCAAAATAATAAAACTAAGGTTTAAATATTTACTTAACCATCGGACGTGTCACTCTAAAAAGGATGCTGCGTATTCAATGCGTTATTCTCAATGAGATCTTAACGAGCGATGGCAAGAAATAATTTTTAAATTAAATGTTCGTTAAGGACATCGGCAATCATAATTCGCCACTGATTCCTTTTCTTTATTATTTGTGAATTGCTATGATTTCTCGGGAAATAAAGCGTAGTGCTTCCCCGTTTGCCTTCTTCACAAATTCCTTTCCTTTATCGTGTGTGAATTGCCATGATTTGGCAAAGATAATGAAATGGTTTTCCGTTGCTTTTTCTATATATACCTATTCATTATTCTCTCTGAATTTCCATGGCTTCTCAGGAAAGACAGTGGAGTGTTTTCCCGTTGCTTTCCCCACAGATTCTTTTGCCTTATTATTTGTGAATTGCCATGACTTCTTAGTAACTGGGGTTAAGTAATTTATATCAAATATTAATACTAATGTCTGACAATGCTTCATCTAATTGAACTGAAAATCATGGACTCAATTTCAGCGTTTTTCTTCTCCTAAAAGAGTACTAAATTATTAAGTGATATCTGTCCTTCTTTATGTCAGCGAATGCTGGAAAATCTCCTCAAATTTGAAGAAAAAACTTGAAGCAACAAAAATGTCGTTCTACAGAAGGATGCTGATATTACCATGAACTGAACTTGTGAGCAACGACAAAGTTTTGGAGAAAATGGAAACAAAAAGGAAACTTATACTGAACATCAGAAAGAGACAGTTGAAATTTCTGGGGCATATAATTAGGAAAGAGCGCTTGGAAAATATGATACTCACAAGGCAGATTGAAAACATGAGAGGCAGAGGAAAGCAACGCATAGCATTTTTAGGGAGCTTTAGTAAATGATTGGCAGGACAAGGTTTAAGAGAAATAACAAAAAGACAAAATTTATTGAGAGCTTCGAATGACGGGAAATTGTAGAGAGCCATGATTGCCTACGTCACAAGGAGACACGGCAATTAAAAAAAGTAGACATCCCAATAGACCACGATATTTAACTGGAAGACAAAAAAAAAACAAATTCATTTCTTTCCCAAGATAAATAGTGTGAATGTGTTCAGATTCCTATTTTACTCTTGAATAGAAACAACAAAAAAATATCGATCTAAAACTCAGACTTTCGGCGGTGTTTCGACTACGCCGACTGCATCCACTGCAGAGGAGTAAGACTTCTTCAGGGAGCCCACATTAGCCTCATGACCTGGTGGGCTCGTATGGTCACTACAGAGCTAACAACCGAACCAGTTCCCTCCACATATCTAGGTTGAAATCCAGAGAGCTATTTATACATACGTAGCGTGTCTATGTCAAGTAGGCCTGGCGTAACCTATCCCTCTTCCGGCCAAACCACAGCTCATATCCTCCAACTTGAAGGATCGCCTTGGTCACAGACCTGTTGCTATCGCTTTCAAAGGGAAAACCGTCTGCTCTGGTTGTTAATATCAGAGTAGGAACCCCTCCGCCCAGATTTATATTCAATATGAAATAACCCAACGAATGTTGATGTCGTTTTATTAAACAAACAACCAGCCAAGAAAAGAAAATTAAATATCCACGATTGTTAATATGCACTTAAATGTGGCGGGGTTAACTTTCACTTTCACTTTCCTGAAATTTTTGCAAGTTTGTCCCCATATGTTTAAGAAAACTGATAAATGAAGTAGATTCATACAACAGGGTTAATGTCACGTGTTATGTTACATGCTATGACATTAGATACTGAGTAAGTAAGAAACATATATTATCAGGATATGAAGGATAAATTGATAGATAACGGTTAACTCAAGACTTGAAAAGGTTACGTTTGTAGCGATGGGGAACCATCCTCTCGGGAGTCTATTCTACAACGTAACAGTTATTGTGGAAAAGTTGATGGAATTTTTTCCTTTCAAATGAAATACAGGGAGAATAAGGATAATCCGACCATGTGTATATGTCATGGCAGACCCTACAAGTGAAGGTCTGAATTGGTCTAAAAAATGTAATCCGTCTGAACATTTGACATGAAAATAACATTAGAGCAGCGAGAGACGAGCAATAATGTTGCTTCGAAATGTTATGTTGCTTGTATGTTGCTAAGCGATAAGTTGCTTAGAGATTTATGAATTTTTAGATTTTCGACCAAAGCTGAGGTTGTGTTTTGAATTTCGTAGCAATCCCCCAGATACACACTGGGAGAAAGTACTGATCTCTATTTTGGGGGTACTGTATCTTTCTTGAGGATGCCCAAGGAAAGAAAGCAAATTGTTAAGAGATGGCAATGGCGAACGGTGCCTTTTTAAAAACTAACCCAAGTATTATTAAGACATGAGAAAAATCGGCTAGAAACAAAGAAAAGGGTACTGGATAGTTATGTAATATTCGCCCCCCTCTATGGCAATGAATACCAGACAATCCCCTCAAAGATGAAGAAGAGTCTTGAAGCGACAGACATGTGGTTCCACAGAAAGATGTTGAGAATAATATAGACAAAGCACACTAGCAACGAAGAATCCTGGATAGCAGGAACAACATGGAAGCTGATTCTTACAATGAGAATGTGACTATTGAAATTTCTGGGATATTAAATGATGAAAGAAGGCCTGGAAAATCTAATACACTCAGGATAATTTAAGTCAAGAAAAGCAGAGAGAAACAGCGAGTAACGCACTTAATAAAGGAGTCTGAATGGATGACAGAACAACAACAAAAGCGTATGCTAATCGATCAAAATTAAGACAACAAATCGGCAATATTATTGGTCCTGCCCTGGCGTCTTGACTTCAGTAACTTTCTCACATCCGTAAAGTTGCTTCTCTGTACATTTGCTATAAATACTTTCCTGGTAATTGTTCGGATGAGCTCTTCGCTATGGTTTCATTCCCCCCACAGACAATGATTTGTACATATGGGGACTAGTTAGGATTTTCATAGAGACAATGTGGTATTATGGTGACTGTAAGAAGAAAGGTAAGGAAGAATGCGTTGTTTTGATGTTAGGAAATATTGTGGAATGTTTGGGTCAGTCTTTGTGGCTAGCTAAGTAAGAGAAAAGAAGACCGTCCTTTTCCCCATTTCCCATTTTTGGCCTTGTGCCACATTTTCTGTAAATAAGCGGAAATAAATATCGCTATTCGCTATGGTACCTAAACTTTATGAATTTAAGCGCATTACTAGACTGGCGAGGAGGTCTCATCAATTTAACGGGTGAAATGGCTAGATGGAATCGTAGGCTCTATGTTTCTTTTATCGCACTTTTCGCTTGTGGAACTTTCCTCTGTCTCCGTGCTTTCCAGCCAACTTTGATCTTCAAAAATTATAATACAATATCAATCGATATCTACTGTCTTCCTGATTATTCTTCTGTTGTTTTCGTTCCTTAGTAAGGTTTCTGTTTTCTAATTCTTCCACGCCCAGTAAACCCTTGTGTCTTACAGGCTTTACTGCCTTGCTTGAGGTGAATTCGACTAAAAACAAAAAGACTCCAGCAAATGACAAAAATCAGCCACGTTCTGAAAGGAAACGTAAAAGATATTTTGTATAACATGTCTAAGATGTGTCTTAAATGTCGATTTTAAACTGTTTTCAGATTTGGCGACAAAGGTGGAATGCCAAAGCCAGAATGTAAAAGTCTTCACAAAGTCCTCGGTGCCGAAGAGATATCATGTTTTCAATAACCCGATGGTAGGTGATGCATTTCTGCAGGCAAATGACCAATGGATATCGAGCAGGCAAGATGTTTTTTTAGAATTTCTTTCATTTTCTTATTCGGCCATAATTCTCCGCCCCCACTCTCTCTCTCTCTCTCTCTCTCTCTCTCTCTCTCTCTCTCTCTCTCTCTTCGTCTGTATCAATATTTCTCTCTCACTTTTTCTCTCTGTCTTCTTCTTAGAGTCTCTCCTTCTTTATTGTCTTTTGCTTTCTCTTTGTTGCTTCATTTATTTCTTATTAGTCACTCTTCCTCTTCTCTCTCGATTTATGTTCCATACTCTCTCCTTTACCTCCTCTTTCTCTCACCCACTTTGTTTCTCTATTTCTTTTTTCTTGTTCTCTGTTTCTCCTTCTCTCTCTCTCTCTCTCTCTCTCTCTCTCTCACTTTGTTTGACTGTTTTTTCTTTTTTCTCTTTTCTTTTCTTTTTAACTTTAATTCTGTTTCTTTCTTTCTTCATTGCCTCTCTCTTACACAAACACACTTAATTTGTTTCTCTGTTTCGTAATCTCTCTTTCTCGTTATAATACTCAGTCTCTCTATCTCTCTCTTTTTCTTTTTTCTTTCTATTTCTCTCTTTCTTCTTTTTTTTTTTACTTCTATCTCTTCTGCTTCATAGTCTGTCCCTTTTTATATTTTAGTCTCTATCTATCTGTTACTAGTTCTCTAACTAACAGTCAATTGACGATGGCCTTGTATCAGAAGAAGCTAAGATGAATCTAATCTTCAAAAAATATTTTAAATTCCTGATCCATTCGCTGTATCTGTCACATCTAGTTTGCCTCTCAATACAACATTGGATCATACTCACCTTAAATTTCCACTTTCCAATGTTCGTCTCTTGCAGTCAATAATAAGTTCTAATAAGTTCGCTCCTCATTCACTCTATAATAATACCCTTGTGCCAGATTAGCCAGTCACTTTTCAAATTCCCTCACGGCAAATTCTGCTATATTTTTTAGATCTAAATCCACAAAGGACCTTGGAAGTTCCGGGTACGATAACCGGCATAAGAACATGCGGGTAAGTGGCATATTACTCTTTTCATATTTACAGGGTACCCTAAAAAAAAAAAAGAAAATTTGGTACAGATTATTTAATTGTTGGGATTTTTGTTACAGTTACTTGAAATAAAAGCAAATGCTAGAAATTTTGATGTGTTGTTCAAACTAAAGAACTCTGGCAAATTTTTTTCGCATTTTTCAGTCCCCGATTTGAATGTTCTTTCTTAAAGAGAATAATCCCATCGAGCTGAAAATTTGATAACTATGGCATCCTGGAACAACAGATGGTTAAAAAAAATTATGTTAGTTATTTTTTTAGTTTGTTCATATAGTAATGTTTAATTTATTTTATATGTTAGGGTTTTTGTTTTTCTTATATAGTAAATCTAAAATTTACTGTTTTGTTTATTTATTTATTTATTTTTTATTTTATTTTTTATTTTATTTTTTTTTTTTTATGGGGCATCCTGTATATTAACTGCAATCTATCTCAGGTTATACATCAAATTTCGAAGTGAAGATAATCCCGGAAATAGTCTTTTCTAACCGCTGTCATAAAACATCCCGCGGATGTGAGCATGGTGCAATGGATAGCGGAGAGCCGTGTTCGATTCCTGCCGAGTTTGTCTCATTCACTTACGCGCAAATATCCAATATGAAAAAAGTATGAATCTATCTCTTCTCCCCCAGATATGGATTAAATAGTATGACTGGTACCTGGAAAAATGCATTGTTATCTTCATGGAATTGTTGATAATATTCATCGCCAAAAAAGTATTCTTACAATCCTAAATATGTTTGACATAGGAGTGATAAGCCAAAAAAAGAAAAGCAAAGCTATTTATCTAAATCAATCAAACATCCCACAACGCCAGGAACAAAGACACATGGCCCAATGGATAAAGGCGTTGGTTGAAGTAATCCAAAAGTGACTTGACCCAAATAGTTGGGATTTCAATACCTGGCCACAGATGAGGTGAACAAAAAACTTGGAGAGTTACGTTACTAAAGGGAATTAACTGAAAACTGAGATACCCTGAAAAAAGACAGCACGTAGAACTAGAACAATCCACCCTCGTGGACTAAATAAAGAGCTCGGTTCGAAATTCGAACGTATATCCCCTGAAGAAGGCCGGAGCGTACAACGACTGAAACGTCGTGTATATGAGGAAGCAGTGTAAATACTTACAATACCTAACCTCAGAAATATAGACGGATATTTCTATTCATTATAACACGGTAAAGAAACCCTGTTTTTTCTTCTATAACGACAAGTATGGTTCGCTTGCTTCCTTGTTTCGCTTGCCTAACATGGCGAATACACAATGGCCGACGTTTATGGCACGTCGCCAAATGTTCTTTTCTACTTGGCGGGAATTTGGCTCATCGTTACTCACCGGAGATACGACTGTTTGCGCTGCAGCCGGAGACTGATACAGTCGGCATGCCAGAGATCTAGAGTAAGAAACGGGAGAAGAGTGTATGTATTACGAGGAGATTACTTACAGTCATCTGTTGCGGATTGGTTTCTTTCGCTTTCCTTCTCCTACTTCGCTTTCATCTTCGCCATGTCAATTTTTATCAGCCTCTCGTCGGCCAGATCAAATATTCCTCTTTTCTCCTGGTGCCTTGTTACCAAGTATGAACCTTCGGGGTATGTTTGGGGAGGAGAGAGGTACCCCCATCAAAATGCCTTTGGACACAATCTCTAGGTTTAGATGCCTAATAAATGTGGAACATAATATATATATATATATATATATATATATATATATATATATATATATATATATACTTGGTGTAACAGCAAAAATATCTAAAAACTACTAAATTGAGTTTCTTTTTTCCGGGCTTTCAGATAAGGCGTTTAGCCATCTTGATACCATTGTTGTAAGAATCACTACGAAACCCCTTGAGTTATTCAGCTAGAAAGAGAACAGTTTAAAATCGTTTTGTGTCTTCCCAACTGAGCAATGGTGAGAGGAAAACAATTCAGGCCTTCAGTAACGGTACCAACATTGTTATATAGTGGTTTCACAGTGGAGGCTTTTATTTGTACTAAGTCGGTCCTAAAATAGGTTCGACGTACAAAACGTTAGGAACTTGATATAATAGGTAATGACGCAGTAATCTAGTTGTGGTGGCTGATACTTTAATATCTGACTAACGGTCGTCCGAAAATCTGACCCACTCACTAAGCGACTCTCGTCTGCTACTACTGCTACTTATTATAGGTGGGAGAGTCTATTAACAATAGAATAGGTGTGTTCCACTATAACACATTCATACTCTGGCTTCCATCTTCAAAGTTTAATCAAGAACTATCTAGAGGGAACAGTAGACAGGAAATCTGGATCAAGAAGTCGCAACAGTAAGATGGATCATCATTTCAACTTAGAGCTAAAGAGATCAATTAGAAAAGATCCAACTCAACCCCTAAGACGTTTCCCACGTGAAAGAGGAGTTTCAGGTATGACAGTCTTAAGAGCAGTGAAAAAATACTTGAAAATGAAATTGGACGTGAAAATCTGAGGCAGATTGTAATTCAGGAGAAAATCTTAGAAGGTTATAGGGCGAAGATCATCTTGAATAAGTCGGAAAATAGTCCTGTAATTATACATATATATATATATATATATATATATATATATATATATATATATATATATATATATGAAATTTATATAAATTCCTCATGAGTTTTCGATATGATTAATTAATGATGAACATGTCATTTTCGTTTATGATCGATTTCATCACGATTCTTCTGTTAATCTTGGAGAGGAATTATACATTATTATTGCTCAAAGAAGAAACTAATAGTGTTAGAAAACCCTCGGAGAATTCCAGTAAGATATCTTTAATCATCTTTAATCATTCCTAAGATACAACGGTTCAAAGGTTAATCTAACAATTTTGCTGTTACACGATTTGGACAATTTTTGTGACACGTTATATATATATATATATATATATATATATATATATATATATATATATATATATATATGTGTGTGTGTGTGTGTGTGTGTGTGTGTGTGTATGTATGTATGTGTATTTATTACTTAAACGCTATTTTTAGTGCATATTCGTATTTATTCTCATCTACCAGCCAGAATAATCGAAAAAGCTTATCAGAGAAAAATATGCGCTCTCCGGCAGGATTCGAACCTGCGTTCCCCAAGGGGAAGCCGTCTTTACATCTGACATGCTTTGACCTCTCGGCTACAAAGTGCGTTGATGACCAAGCAAAGCTGAATAGTACGCTTTGTCACTTTATATTCGAATAACCTAGGAAAGTCATGAACCCATTTCTCCCCTGCAGCTATGGATTAAATAGCAGGCCTTGTATCTAGAAAAATATTGCTATTCTCAAAAGAAAATTGAAAAGAATGTTTCAGATTGAAATAAACTACCTACAAAAGGTTGATAAACCATAAAAACAAATCAATTAAACGTTCAGTTCCGAATATGGTCAACTACTGTTGACCAGTGTGAGTGTGTGTTCGATCCCAGGCTCTCATCCAAACGTAAATCTTATATCCGATGACCCCTTTCTTCCCTCTCTGGAATACGTATTTATATATCTCTGTCATGTGATTATTACCCACGTGGGCGTCTCGGGTATAGATGGGCAAATCCGGTGGATCTGTACTCGGTAGCTAGTAGGTTTCCACTTAGGTCAACCCTGAACCTGGCTTCTCTGAGAAAAAAAAATGAGTGCAAAATCTATCCCGGCATCGTCCGAGGTGAACCACATCCTATGAAGTATCCAAATTCAAGCATTTGAAGACAGAACGTATGGATGTCAGCAAGAGAAAACAAAAAAAAAGACCCAAGATGCTAACTATGAATTGGACATATCAAAATCATGCAAGTACAGAAGTTCTGGCACTGAAATCCGAAGGCGCATCCCAATAGACGCCTTCCAAAAACTAAACAAAGTATTAAGAAATATAATATTTTCGTTAGAAACAAGCAAAAGTGATGAACTTACGTTTATGTAATATCAGTCCTCCTCTATAACAGCTCCTCACAGAGGAAAACGAAATGTTGTTCTACAGAAGGATACTATGTGTTGTGCATTCCGAGATGAAATCCTGTCTCAAAATGAATGACAAACGCAGGAATGAAATATAGCAAATAAATGTATTGACGTAATAATACAATTGGTAGTACGGTTAGTAGATCCAGAAATGCGGTTAGTAGCAATAATAATATATATACAGTCTAGGATATTTCACTATCGAAGTATGGCTTCCCTCTGAGTCTACGTGCTCGCAACTGTGATTCCTACAAAGTGGTTACCTCACACTCTCACTCTCACTGTATCACTGTATAAATGTATCTCACGTCTAACACCCGGGCATTCACCGGCAGCAGTACAAGTACACACTGGTCGAGTCCACTTGTATGAAAAGGGGGTGGACTCCATAACACTATGGACAGGGCAACGACAAAGTTTTCAGGAAAATGGAAATAAAAAAAGACAATTGTACATAATAAAAAGAAACAGTTAACATTTCTGGAACATGGGAAAAGAAGAAATGGAAATTTGACACGCAAAGGACATATTGAAAGCAAACGGCATAGATGAAAGCTGCGAGTAGCCTACATAACGAGGTTGTGTAAATGGATGGCTAAACAGGGAAAAAAGGGGATAGTAAAAAGATAGACATTGGTAAGAGTTACTGTTGTAGCATAGCATACCTACGGGTATAATGGGTATGTCCCGATTCACATAAATACAGTAGTAAATACTGTGTGTTGGTCTGCAGTTGGAGATTCGTCTCTAGCTGTGCTAGTCAAACTCTCTGACCGGAGGCAGAGAAGATCTCCAAACGAGGCTATGTCGAAGGGCAGAGTCTCGTCTCAGGAAACAACAACCTGATCCCATTTTATATTGATTACTATTCGGATTACTATTTCTAGTCTATCCGCTATTACTATACGCGCCTCCATTCTCTACGCTATTCACTATACTATTTCTCTATTCGGATCACTATACGGTGATTACTATTGGAACGAGTATTATCGAGCAAGTACTTTAAGTGCGAGTGTTATTCGAAGTCGTCTGACACCAGTATTGTTCAATGACATTACTGTAGTTGTATCTGCGATTACAAAGTCTCTACTACAACAAGCATTACGAAAGTGACAACCAGTATTCGTTGACATCACAAAAGTGGCAACGAGTGTTCGTTGAGTCACAAAAGTGATGATATAGTGAGTAATTGGCGCGTTTGAAGGGCGCATTGTATTAAAAAAAAGCTTTTTTTTCTGTTCAGTCAGTAGATGATTTTGCTGCATGTCTTCATGTTACAAATGTGACGCAGTTAAACGACCATGAAGCGGGACTTCCACATCACAGCGTATTCTTCATACTTTCTGTCCATCATTTGATTAGCATCATGCAATAGACTCCCAGCGGTTCAGGACATCCACAAGGAATTGATCGATTAAAGGTGGAAACGGTTTTTTTGATGTAAGAATGATGTGAAGTCATAGAAAACAAAGATTACTATTTGGATAACTGAATAATGATGCTATGAATTTATAGAATAAAATATTTTGTCTAAAATAATGTTGGAAACCTTTATGTCGAGCTCATTTATTTTTTACTATTTTTTTTTTTTTTTTGCATTGGAAAGGCGCTTAATAAAAGTCCTTCGTAAAAATGTCACTTACTTTATTACAGGCACTCTTTCTGGCTGTTGGTCCTGGGTTTCGGGATAATTTCCTCATAGAACCCTTTGAGAATATTGAACTTTATAACATGATGTCTGGTGAGTAATGTTACCTCATTTTATTGGTACCAGTTAGACCATTTCCACATAGAATCATTTCTGAATATGTTTCAGTTTATAATAGGATGCGTGATAAATCAAAGTTTTTGGTGGTTTTTTATACTTGTTATATGAGAGCATCCGATCATATTGAACTTTATGAGGGAATTTCTGATGAGTCAATTTTTTACCGTTTTCTTTGGTTCTTATTGGAATATTAGATCATACCCTCATAGATATTCTTTGAGAATATTGAACATTATAACATGATGTCTGGTGACTAAAAAGTTTCTCTTTTTTATTAATTACTGTAGAAATATAAGATCATTAGAACATGAAAGATACTATACAATTTCTAGGAATAATAATATAATATCTAAGAATAATAATAAAAGACCTTCGAAAAGCTATCAAAATACAAGGACCTTGAAATCGAAATCTCAAAAATGTAGCACATGGGAACATCAACAATCCCCGTTGTAGTTGGAGCCCTAGGACTGGTTGGAAAAGATTCCAGTATACTCATTGAACGGATTCCTGAAAGCCCATGCCTTAAAGAAATACAAAAGATTTTTCTCACGAGTACAGCTGACACCTTATGAAGGGTTTTATCTATGTAAAATATGTTTTTTTAATTGGTCAGTGGAAAATGTCATGATGCCATTTTCTTAGGTCTCTGGGCGGGACCCGGAAATAAATGTGTACATACCAGAATCAAAGGAATAATAATAATAATAATAATAATAATAATAAATTGTTATTAAAGACCACAAACAAAAACGGTGCCTCCTTGTTCATATGGCAGTCCCTGCTGACTGCAATGTATCTTTGAAGATATTCAAAAAGCTGTCAAAATACAAGGACCTTGAAATAGAAATCTCGAAAATATGGCATATGGGAACATCAACAATCCCTGTTGTAGTTGGAGCCCTAGGACTGGTTGGAAAAAAATTGCAGTAGACTAATTGAAGGGATTCCTGGAAGTCCATGCCTCAAGGAGATACAAAAAATTGTTCTAACAAGTACAGCCCACACTTTACGAAGGGCTTTATCTATGTAATTTTTTTTTTTTTTTTTTGTCAGTGGAAAGTGTCATAACGCCATTTCTAACCTTAGGTCCCTGGGCGGGACCCGGAAAGAAATGTGTAAACGCCAGAAATCAAAGAAAATAAAAATAAAAATAATAATAATAATAATATCTAGCAAAGGTAAAGTGTTATTTGTTTCAGTTTCCGATGTATTAACTACAGAGGGTCCAACGGCAGAAATGTTGTGAGCATGTGACAACGATTTTTTTATCTTTTTTTTTTTCATTGTTTTACATTTTTATTTTCCGGTGCAACGCCGGGTATTCTTACCATTCGTTTATAATTTCAACATAACAATTGCTTCTGTTGGAAGGTACTTATTCCGATAATAACTTTTCAATTAAATTTCTTGAATGTTCTTTTAGAACTGATGAAATTAAAACCGTCCAAAAATAACGGCACGACAGGTAGTTTGAACCATATCATCAACAGTGACAAACCACTTCTGACGAAATCAAAGGCTCCAAAAAGTTGTACGAATACCGAAAACTGGAAGTTGATTCAAAAGTATCTCTACGAAAGACCTTGCTACAATAAAACTTCTATCGTATGTATTAATTTATTGTTTTCATCGTAAACACACATGTTCTATCAAATGTTTACAAATATATATATATATATATATATATATATATATATATATATCTTTACACCTCATCATTCTCTCTCTCTCTCTCTCTCTCTTTCTTACTATCATCCTTACTATTTTAAATCTTCTCTCCTCTCTCTCTCTCTCTCTCTCTCTCTCTATATATATATATATATATATATATATATAAAAACTGTTGAAATTTATAACCGATTATATGATGCTTAATTTAGTCTTTTCCTTATTTATTTATTTTCCCTGCATATATATATATATATATATATATATATATATATATATATATATAGAGAGAGAGAGAGAGAGAGAGTCTTGGGCATGACGATATATATATATATATATATAGAGAGAGAGAGAGAGAGATATATATATATATAGATATATATATATATATATATAAAGAAAGAAAGAAAGAACAGTAAGATATATAATCTGGTGTTCTTATTGATATTTTTTTTATTTTTTACAAAACAGAGCATAAATATTATAAATTAACTGATTTAAAATGTGTTTTTTCGCTACACTGTAATATTCATGTTTCAAAAACTGAAAAAAGCTGGTAATATACATGCTTATATTTGATATGAAAAAATAATTTTAAATAATTTAAGTAATTCTATTACATTTACTTGTTTTAAAAAGAAATATAGTCTATCAGTAATTAAGAGTAAAAATATTTAAAAATTGTAGTTAAATAAAACGTATTCTAACCCAAACACCCCTAGATAGAATCTTTAAGTATACAAGTACGAAAAAAATGCCGAAAAACTTTTTGCCGTTAAAAAAAAGCAAAAAAAAAAAGCCAGACGACCTGCGTTTAACGGGTGTCAGAATTCGTTGAAAAATACACCCCTGCCCTCCCTAAACTTAACCTCTTTTTCGAACGTAACTCATAATTGATACAACAATAGTTAATAAAAAGGGATACGCTACCGCCCTTGTCTGAATGATTAGATTTCTCTGTATCCATGGAAACAGGAAATTAGGAATTTATATGTGCGTTTAAAACTCAGTAAATTTAAAAATAAGTTATTCCAAAATTCGCTTGAAGGTGAAACGGAACTAATGCTTTTAATTTAATTATATAATTAAATTTTATAATTAAAATTATATAATTAAATTTTAAGTTTTTAGCTACAGTTTTTGAAACATGGTTATTACTGTGTAGCGAAAAAACATATTTTAAATCAGTTTATATATATATATATATATAGTCTTGTGTATGAAGATAAACTTCATCCGCCAACAAAGCATCTGAGCGTGAGATTCGAGGTTACGAGGAGCGTAAAACCAGCTCTTAATTGCTGTTGTAACAAGGTCCACCCTGATCCGGTGTGGTAGCACCTGTTCGGGACCCAACTATTAACCCGCAAACACCAAGTAAGTATCAAATACATTTTATAGTAAAAAATACCAGCAATGCATTTTTCATATTAAAAATTTACCACCAATACATTTTTAAAGCATAATTAAGAACAATACATTTTATAGCAAAATGACCAGCAATATATATTATCTGTAGTTGAAGCCATAAGACTATGTTCCAAATATTTAGATTTCAGCATTAAATAACCCATACGCCGCTAAACAAAATCAACTAATGCATTGCTCTTCTACTCGAGTCGAGCTCGCCTAGTTACTGACGTCTTTTATAGAGAAAAAACGTTAAAATTTCCCTTCCGTTCTGTCATGCGACGATAGCTTTGGGGTAGAATCTCTGACAGATACCAAATCGGTCGGGTTTTGCTCCCGGTTTGAAGCAAACGGATGTCTAGCCACACTGATGAGCTGTGATCCAGCGAAACAAACTGTCTATGGATGACTATATATATATATGTAAGTGTGTGTGTGTGTGTGTGTGTGCGCGCGCGCGCGCGTGTGTGTAAAATTAGATATATAGTGTTGTGGATTCCGGGTTGAAATCCGGTACCAATAAATAACAAACGCCAGGAATGAATATATGAAAATAATTTATTAACGTAATAATACAAACTGGTAAAGCAGGTTAGTAGTTCCAGGAATACGGGTTAGTAGCAAAATATCTATACAGTCTTTGGTACTGAAGTATCGCTGTATGACTTCTTACTGAGTCTACGTGCTCGATCTCTGTGACTCCTACAACGCTGTTACCTCGCCACTGATTCCTTTTCTTTATTATTTGTGAATTGCTATGATTTCTCGGGAAATAAAGCGTAGTCTTTCCCCGTTTGCCTTCTTCACAAATTCCTTTCCTTTATCGTGTGTGAATTGCCATGATTTGGCAAAGATAATGAAGTGGTTTTACCTACAACCTTTTACTCTGTCACTCTCGACTCGACTCCTCGGTCTTGCTCTCGTCTAACCTTTGTCTCACTCTTGCAGTAGTATATGTATATACTGGGTGAGTTCATTTGTATAAGAAGGGGTGGACCCCTCAACATATAGTAAAAACTAAACAAGCTCACTAAACGTGATGTATTGATTATACAAACATATTAATGTAATACATAATACTGGTGTAATATTTACTGTATACCTACTTTTGCTGCCCCTTTACATACGCTATATTTCGCCCAATACAAGGCCGAAGATGCACCCAAGCTAAAAACTTGTCTTATAACCGTAAGAGGAGGAAGTAAAGAAAAGAGATCGTGAGGATATATAGGATAGATAACGCTTAATCCTAGGTTAAGTTATTAGTGGTCAAGGAATGATCCATTCGGAAATATTTTTCCAGAAAGTAGCAGCTCTCGGGAAGAAACTAACTGAACAGCACTTCTTTCTTACTAATGGAACCTGAAGGGTATGAGGAAGATTCCCCCCACGCCACTGTTATAGTGGAACACACCTATTCTATAATTAATAGACTCTCCCACCTATAATAAGTAGGAGTAGTAAGAGTAATGAGCGAGTCTGGGAATCGGTCAGTCAGTCAAGGTCGGACGACCGTTAGTCGAATACTAAAGTATCAGCGACCACAACTAGATTACTCTGCGTTATACCTATTATATCAAGTTCTTAACGTTTTGTACGTCGAACCTATTTTAGGACCGACTTAGTACAAATACAAGCCTCCGCTGTGAAACCACTCCATAACAAACTTGGCGACGAGGTATTCGGATTCATACGGTGGAAGAGAAAGAAAAATTCGTTCGCCATATAACAAACCTGGCGATGAGGAATTCACACTCCATAACAGCCACGTTCCTTGATGAATTTCATCTTAACATCAAAAAACTGATAAGACAAATGGAAAGAATAAAAAATAGACACAATATAGGCATGTGTATATTATTCAAGGAAACATGTTTGAATGAAAATAAGCTGCCTAAATAGTTATATATATATATTGGAGGAACCTTATGTATATATATATGTGTATGTGTCTGTGTCTCTGTGTGTGTGTGTATGTGTGTGTGTGTACAGATTGGGGAAACAAATATTCGTACACATACAAATTTTTAATTTATTGTATTTCCAACTAATGAAAAGGCATACTTTTCATACAATTAACTGTACACAGGAGCATAATAACTAAATATGCATAGAAAAGAAGAATAAATTTGAATTAATAGAAATAAATCCCATTTATCCATTTTAATAGGTGAAAAAAGTATTCATACAAATGCAAATTTCAGATTTTAAAACTTTTAAATTGCTTTAATACTCTAGATTATTCAAGTTGAATATTCCAGAATGTTTCAATGATGTTATCAATAATTATTTTTAGCCTAAAAATACAAACAGAACATTCTGTAATTGATATTCGTGCAAGATGTTTTTCATTATGGCAAGAGGTAAAGAATTGACAAATTCGCAAAAATAACTGATTGTTAAGCTCTAGAAACAAGGTAAAAGTTACAGGAAAATCTCAGACAACCTGAATATTCCATTTACTAACATTAGTTCATTCATTGCAACGTATAAAAGACTCAAAACTGTTGAAAATCAACGAAGAACCGTCCTCTCGGACAAACAATATGGCTTCCGTTTTGCCAGGTCTACCGCTGATGTGCCATCACTGAATATGTATATCAAGCTCTTGATAATAATTGCGGAGATCGAGCAATAGATATCAAGGAGGCGTTTGACAAGGTTTAGCACGCTGGCCTTCTAAGCAAGCTCTAGGTCTACGGTATCATATGACGAATGTTTGATTTAATCCAAACGTTCCTATCAAATCGTGAAATGAAGGTCTTTTTGAACGGCCTCGCTTCCAGATCTTTTCATAGCCTACATTGTTTCTGATCTTTATCAATCATCTCCGAGATATCATAATTTCCCAGATAAGTATTTATGTAACATTTACCCCTAACTCAATAGCAAATCCGTCAGAGCTGACAAACTTGGCAGCTGCTTTTGAAAAGAACCTTCAAATCAGTGGCTAACTGGGTTTTATAAATTTTAACGTCACCAAAACAAAACTGTTTTCATTTAACCACCATAGTAAACCTTTTCTGCCTGCCATCAGCGTCTCTGACGCTAGATTCCTGAAAAACAACACACTGTGCCTTCCTGGCCACACGTTTTCAACTGACTTGGAGTGGAGCGATTATATCGAATCAATAGCTGCATCTATTGCAAGGAAAGTTGGTTCACTGTGTCGTCTCAGAAATTTTTTCTTGTTAGAATCCATCAAGGACATTTACAAGTCTACCATTCGTCCGTGCATTGAATATTGTTGCCATATCTGGTCTAGTACTTCTGCTATTCATCTCAAAGTTCTTGACAAAATCCAAAGAAGGATCTGTAATTTAACCAATCCTGATTTTGCATCTACTTCAGTCACTTTCTGTTGAAGCTTGGATAAGCATGGAATAATAATAATACAACACAAAATGTACGTAAACAAAATATATTGAAACAAGGAAAAGGTACACAATATTTACAGTTAGTTTTGGTATATTCTTGGGAAGACTGTTCCTGTAGAATGGGTTGACTTAATCGCAGTCGGGCAGAGTCTCTCGATTCGATCTCTTCTTACTTCTTCCCCCGTCTTCCGGTACCAACCCATATTTATATGGTTGGTACTCCACTATGTAAATTAGGTGGATCGTACCACAACACTTTCTCACCAACGTGACGTGGCTTCTCTCTGTCTTTTCTACAAATATTTTCATGGCAGCTGCTCTGACAACCCTTTTTTCTTGGTGCTCTGAATTTAAGTGTACTATTAGATTGGCATCCGGATCCCACACATTTACTGTCGAAATAGCTAAATGCAACCAACACTTCTACTCCAACAGTTTCTTTTCTCGCACTTCCCACCTGTGGAACTCCCTTCTGTTTACTTGCTTCCCCGATAACTACAATCTTCAAAAATTTAAATGCAACGTCAATCGCCATCTTTTATCTTCTTGAATCCCGTTCATCATTTATCCTTTCCGCAATCCTCTCTAAACTCAGTCTTTTCTTCCATTTTCCCTCCTTGCAAACCCTGCTAACTAGTGACATTTCCGTCTTGCATAGGATTATATAATTAAAAAAAATTTTTTTAAAAATAAAAGTTTTGAATGTTGCAACAACGTTTTTCTTATTTTTTATTGCATTTTATCTTTCCGCAGGATAGCCTACTTATTCCCAAATTAAAAGATTCTGTGAGAAAAAAAGCCACCATTTTGAAGAAAAACCTTCCGATGGGACCGCCTATCGATGCAAGTAGTAACAGCTGTTACGTATTACTTTATCAAACAGATTTCGTTGTTGGCGCCAGCAACGATCGTCTCATGCCTCTATGGATTTCAACCACCCTGGATATTCAATCAAAATGGACGGAGACGCTTGTAAGTCGCTCAGACCTTTTCAAATTCCAAACTCGTAAAATTTACTGACGATATGGTAAGACCTAAGTTATTCTTTGAGTAAATGACATCGTATATCTTATTAGGAATGCTGGTAATTATTGAATAAATAGTGTACTCATGCCGTGAAAAATGTCAATTGTTAGAATGTTTTAATCGTGAGATGCAATGAAACATAAGATCTTGAAACATTGTATCGTGATTCAATAAATTGAGAATAAAAAATTAACGACTAAAACAGGGGCCAATGAACTGTTTAATTAGTCCGTTCCCTTTATATTTTAAGGCGTTAAATGATATCTATGGTTCATTGATTACTCCTGGTATTATATAAAACGCTTACAAAGAAACTGATTAATTAAACGGCCCATTTTGCTCGGGAACTAATGTTGTCTAAATGCAAATAAATATTTTATTTGTATAGATTATAAAAAACAAGTAAGGGAGGTAAACACTCATATGTATTAACTTAATTTGTTTTACCTCCCTTCTCGCTACAAATGGGACAGGAAATATATAAATAGACATCGATAATTTTTATATGGTTCAATAGTATGAGATTTAGTCATATAAACTTCACTCTTTAATACGACCGTGCTAAATGAATTTTTTTTTTATTAACGTCCACAAATGCAAAGCCCAAGAGCCAGTTAAGGTGAAGGGTTACGAATATGGTATGGGCGTGTGTAGGAAGTAGGAAGAGTATGAGGATATAGAGAATAGATAGCGACTGATTGTAAGCTTTAAAAATTATTGTAGTGATTGAGGAAGCATTCACACAGGAGTCTGTTCTACAAAGTAGCTGATCTGAGAAATTTTGTGGGTGGAATTTCTTTCTTACAAATGAAGTATGAAGGGAATGTCGGTGGTGCGAGTCTGTGGGCGTAGTAGGACATGTTCTAGCTGTAAAGGTTTGAACAGGTGTAACTGAATGTCATGGGTCAAGAGAGAGGGACGAATCAAGCCGAGCTTCTCGGCTTGACGGTCGAACTCTCTGTCTCTGAGCAGAGAGGAACCCGGACGAGGCTCCGCCGAAGGGCAGAGTCTCGTTCGGGGATGTTGACCAACCCGATCCCGTTTCGTTTATACGGGTTCTACGGGCATTTTTTGGCCGAGCCTACGGGCTCGGGAAACCCACGTTAAACTCGGCCTTGTGCCACATGCAACCCTCGTGGGGGGGGGGGCTAGATACCGAATCGAGCTTAGCTTCTCAGCTTGACGATTGAACTCTTTGCCTCTGAGCAGAGAGGAACCCGGACGAGGCTCAGCCGAAGGGCAGAGTCTCGTTCGGGGAGGTTAACCAACCCGATCCTGTTTATACGGGTTCAACGGGCATTTTTGGCCGAGCCTACGGGCTCGGGAAACCCACGTTAAACTCGGCCTTGTGCTATATGCAACCCTCGTGGGTGGTGGCTAGCTACCGAATCGAGTCGAGCCAATAGTAGTTCACTCCAAACCAGACTGACAGTCATACTAACACCTTCCACATCTTGTATTATTATTTCGTGTAATATACCTTCGTTATTTTTTAGTCTTGTGTTCGTGTTGTTCTTCCTTGGTCCTACTCTGGACCATAACACTAATCAACGGAACTCGACCGAACATTTTCCCCGAAAATAGCCATAAAATAGTGGGAGGTTTACGACATTTCGTCTGTGGGGAAAGGAACTGTAGGGTGGGAAATAAGTCATCCCTCTCCAAAGGCTGTGCAAACAATTTTGAACGCGGCCAGGGCTGGAATATGGCGATTGGGCAAATACCGTAGTTTCCTTTTTTGAAGTACTTATAACAAATGTTATATTGAGTTTAGATTTTTTTTTAAATTTCAGTTGTACTAGTTAATAAGTTTGTAGGTAGTATCATATCTTGATATACATATAATAATACATCCCAGATCAATAACGATTACAATTTTTTAATCAAATTTACCCCAAGCAAGGCAATAAAGCCACTAAGGCACAAGGGGTTACTGTGTGTGAAAGAATTTGAAAACAGAAACATTATTAAGGAGCGAGAACAATAGAAGAGTAATCAGGAAAACAGTAGATTGACATTGCATGTAAATTTTTGAAGATCAAAGTTGGCCGGAAAGCATGGAGCCGGAAGAGAGTCCCCCAAGCGAGAAGTGCAAAAAAGAAACTGTCAGCATAGAACCTACGGTTACACCTAGCCAATTCAACTGTAAAATGATAAAACCTTAACCCCAAACTAATACTTCGCTTAAATTAATAAAATCTAGATACCATGAGGAAGAGATCATCCGAACAATTAAAACGAAAGATTTTTATAGAAAAATAACAGGGAAACAACTTTATGTCGGTGGGAAAGTGGCTGAAGCCGAGATGCCAGGTTAAGACCAATAATATTGCTGGTTCTTCTTCAGACTTTATCAAAAATCTCTAAATATATAGCAGGAACACCAGACCATATGTGTTAGCAATATTCTAAGCGTGAATGAATTGCAGACTTATAGATATGTAAGATAGATTTTGGAGAGCAACTGAACTAGCAATGGATTCAGTGTACTATTTCCACTTCATTTCAGCCGAATGTGTTAACCCAAAAAGGTGCAACGAGGTTAGCATCAGCCATGCAGATGGAATGCAGAAAAGGGTATCTGAAATTGTAAAGAATTCATCTAAACATAGTATCAAATTTGTTACAACTACTTCAAAACCACAAAGAGATTTAATTAATACAAAACAAAATAATGACTTAAAAGCTGAAGCATGATTTTACGCTATAGACTGTAACAACTGTCGCAAGAAATACATAGGTATACATCAAGGAATTTAAATAAAAAATATATGAACACAAAAGGGATATTTTACTAAACAATTTTGCTAAGCTCAATGCAGTAGTCGTTCATCATAATACGTTTGATAATGATTTCGACTTAAAAATGAAATTTTAATAAAGAGAAAATTATTTATTAATGCGAAAATGTATAGAATGTGCACTGATTTCTTAGGAATCCACGGTAAATATATGTCCACCTTCACACAGCAGGATGTTGCCTTTCTTGACAAACTTACTGCAGTGTGGAATATTTAAAAACCAAGACGATAAAAAGAAAGACAGAAGCGGTAGAAAGCTGAATGAGATCGGCTAGTTTGTAGGTCTAGACCCATCGGACGCTAGAAATTTAACATTTAGATTTAAAGTTAAGCGTCTCTTCATTTTCGGTGTTTCTCTCAGTGTCTAATTCTAAATCAGTGGTACTCAACTTTTTATTATCCATGAACCACTTTTGCTCTTAATTTTTTTGGCAGACCCTCATAACCGTTCAATGGAAAAAATAGCTTATTTGGAAAAAAATAGCTTATTTTAGCTCTCTTCAAAAAAAATAGCTCTTTTGACTAATAAATAAGTTTAGGAATTGTATTATATAGTAAATGTATATTCTTTATTTTGAAGTAAAACTAATTTAATGAAAATAAACCTGTATTTAGCAACTAAATTCTATGAGACATTTATGTAAACTAGTAAAATAACTCATAATTTAAACCATTTTAAAATATGTGAGTAATTAATAAATTTCAAGAAATGCAGATTTATTCAATGAGAAAGATATGGCTAATGTTTCTCTATGAGTTTTTTTTTTATTCGATTCCATGATGTTAATTTTCAAATTGTCGAATCTATTACTATATATTGATATTTTATTTTATAAAAAATTTAAAATTAATATTATTATTCATGATTAATATATTAAATTAATTTATATAGTCAATTATAATCTTTATATAATTTTCCTGTATATATATATATATATATATATATATATATATATATATATATATATATATATACTATAGTAGAGCCCGGCGTTGCCCGGGAATGTAACAGTAAGAGATAGATCAAGTATCGACCATCATAAAGACTGAAAAATAAAATTGACAAAGATTATTGTTTAAGGTTGACAGACACGCATGTCTTAATTACTTTTTTTTTACGAATTGGTCAAACCCAAACTCAAACAAAAACATTGTTTTCAATCGTCATGAGTCTACCGATTGAATAGAATTTTATTATAAACAATTGTCTTGTAAATGGAATTTTTAAAGCATTCTGAATGTAAAAATAAAGAAAAAAGTGTGCAAGACAATAAGGAACACTACCTGCCAAAAAAAGTGAAGTTTTGTTGAAATCGGTTGAAAAATGTAGGAAATCCGATCCCATATATAAACGAAACACACACACACACACACAAACAACCTGGGTTTTATAATAAGTATAACTCGATATGAGTTGTCCCCCCTTTCATTCTCGTGATGCCTCTTAGTCGTGTTTTCAAATTGATTTCGTGCAAAAACAATTGTGTTTTTCCAATTTTGGCGCTGTCAGAACCACTGCAAGGTAATTTTACGTAGTCCTGTGAAGTTTTGTTGAAATCGGTTGAAAAATGTAGGAAATGCAATCCAATATATAAACGTACAGACACACACACACACACACACAACCTGGGTTTTATAATAAGTATGATATATATATATATATATATATATATATATATATATATATAATCCTTCTTTATATATCCTTCAAACATCCAGTAGAGTAAAAGGGACGCTAAAACTTACGACACTCGATTTCATTTTCTGCTAGTTTTAGAGGTGTTTCTCTATTTTAATACTTGAATATGACAAATATTACTGTAGAAATTCCAATTCTCAGTTGTAACATCAGGTCCAGAATTGAAATTGTTCTATAGACCTCTAAAATATTCCCGTGGACACACAATTTGCAATTTTTTTTATGTGTACCCCCCCCAGTAATGTTACATCGACCTTTGTTTTTATTTTATTCTATTCGCCTACATTCAGATTTTCCCATTAATAAAAAAAAGTGTTTAAGATACTGACGAAGTCCTTTTGAAGGACGAAACACGTCACATAGGATTTTATATCCATTTTGTCATTCAATAAAGTATCTTAAAAGAATCTATAAATTCAATTAGAGAATGCTTTTTTTTTTCAAATTCACAGACTGGATCTCTCCAAAAAAAGCGAAAAAACTGTGTGTTTACGGACGCACGGATGGACGTTAAATATTGGACTAAAGGCATCCAACAAAATCAGGATATAGGCTTTTTATACAATATCGGTAAGTGCGACATCATCCTCTGTACTATTAATATACGTGTTGAGTATACGTTCGAGATTAGATCATTTATTCATTGCCGAGCAGTAGAGGAAATTGTATGTGTTCATGTGTTCGTACTTGGCTGGAATCTGTATTGTCTGAAGATTGATAAAGTTGCTAGGATTTAGGAATATTTAAAATGGCTTGTAGGAAAGATGCTATAAAAAAAATGGGATGCTTTTGAGTGACGCAGGCGGTTAAAAGAAGACTTAGAAGGTGTTCACGATGAATCAAGTATTAGGTAGCCCAATTAACGAATTCAAATAGGAACAGTGCTCGAACCTTGCATCCAGACATGCTCTAACTTTTGCTTTCTTAAGACGCAAACTTGATGAGTTATTCATCGTCGAGCAGCAGAGGAAGTTGCATGTGCTCATGTTTCAATGCTGACAGAAATGTAAAGATTGGTAAAGGTGCTAGCAGTTATTTAGGCCTATTTAAAATGCTTTCTGGGGAACATGCAATGAAAAAACAAATGCTTTTGAATAGCATAGACTGTTCAAAAGCGGAAGGTGTTCACAATGAAGCATGAATTGGGCAACCCAAAATACAGATAACAAATGAAAATGGGAACGGAGCTCAAAACTTAGGCCCTCAGATCAAAGATTAAGTGTGCGATTAACTATGAATAATTAAACAGTGACAAATTTTAACGTTTCCTCGAAAATGCTGCCTCAGATCTTGACAATTTAATTCCTGGAAAGCAAAGCTTTCTCATCTCCTCACTATAGGCGACTGTCACCTTCAAAATATCGCCTTTTTGAAACTAGAAATGATAGTCACCGGATAAAGAAACTTTGCTTTCACATGACAATTCCCCAAAAAATAAATGTCGCATTTCGTATATTGCCAAATATATTTATATACATTCAACGATACAGGGATTCTTTTGGGCATTTGTGTGCAGGTTTTGTGCGCGCGCATCGAGGCAGTCAGTTATGCATAATACACTTTTTCACTGAAACCATGTTTTGACATTCAATGATTACACATCAAATTTACATTTTGTCTTCAATCTCATATCATGAACTTAGCTTTGATCATAAAAAGAGGGACCAGTTTTTTAGAGTATTTAACTAAGAGACACGGCACTTATTCAATGCAAAAATGGACAAAGTTTAACATATGTGCCTGCAAAAAAAAAACACTGAGTGAAAAAGATGTTTTTTCTCTTGACACTCAGTGTGATACATGCTTAGGCAATCATGTATGATTTGATATATGACTGACGAGGCAGATATTTTCCTGCAGTAGGTTGCCATTTCTTTCTGCAGGAGACCAGTTGCCATCCAAGGCTATAGAACCCAGTTTTTCCTGCTATTTACCCATAGCTGGAGTGAGAAGAAAAGTATTCATACCTTTCCCAAGGGTATTAGTACATAAGTGAATTTAATGAATTCGACTAGAATTCGAGCTTGGCTTTCCGACGCTGGTATTACTATATGCTCCAGTGACATTTTTTTTTTTTTTGTGATGTTATTTTCCCTCTGGACATTTGCCTTTTATCAAAGAGCTTAATGGATTATTTACAAAGAAGAGATTATAAAAAGACTCTTTCACTGAAACTGTGTTTTGACATTCAATGATTACACATCAAATTTACATTTTGTCTTCAATCTCATATCATGAACTTAGCTTTGATCATAAAAAGAGGGATCAGTTTTTAGAGTATCTAACTAAGAGACACAGCACTTATTCAATGCAAAAATGGACAAAGTTTAACATATGTTCCTGCAAAAAAAACACTGAGTGAAAAAGATTTTTTTTCTCTTGACATTCAGTCAGTTATGTGCAATATACGCTTAGGTGGTGATGAATATTTTCATACATGACTGACGAGGCAGATTTTTTCCCGCAGTCGGTTGCCACCCAAGGCTATAGAACCTGGTCTGTCCTATTTATCCATAGCTGTGGGGAGAAGAAGTGGATTCATACCTTTTCCAAGGGTATTAGCACGTAAGTGAATGTAATGGATTCCACTGGAATTCGAACTCGGATCACCAATTCTTCAATCCAAGACGCTATCCATTACTCCATCCTAGCGCATGGAAGCTTTTTCTTAAGACAGCAGAAAACAATAATAATAAAACAATTAATTTTACCACACAAATAAAAACAGGTAATAACATATATAAACGACTACAAGACCAAATCTTTAGCGAAGAGAAGAAAATATTAAAGAATATGATTGCTAATAGCCTCAAACAGAGATATAGAAAGAAAACACGAAGAATATATAGTCCGTACAACACAAAAGTGGTCAAAAGTGGCACCACTCGTTGCAGATACCTTGCTAATGTACAAACTTAGTATAATGAATATACGAGATCTGTCTGAAAAGTAATGGGACTGGGTGTCCTGTAATAGCTACAAGTGAAAGAGGGATAAGTTGATAGTTTTATCATCTATCATGATATCTTGGCAGTGTATAACTGTAATCTTAGCTTTTTGCAACCATTACATTCTTTTTCACAAACTAGAGTTGTGGCAGGACAAATCGTAGCTGCTTTACAACGCTCTGAGCATCCTGCAGTTACGGCCCGAGAAAACCATCACTGTACTGGAACAACCTCCCTATTCATATGATCTTGCTCCGTGTGACTTATTTCTTTTCCTCGATATCAAGAGGAACATCAAGGAATCTGTTTTGAAGGCGTGGATGCTATCAAAAGGGTCGAAACGAACTTCCAACAGTGCATAGAAACGTGGCAGAGAAAAATGGAATTAAACTCAAAGAGTATTACGTTGGAGGGAAAACCGTGTAGTTTATTGCCTGGAATTGAAATAAATTGTTTGTGACACTAATTCCGTTACGTTTAAGACATACTGCGTATAGAACTGCGTATACAATATTTTATACAGTTGTGGCAGGGAATACGCGAGAGTGATCTGTCTCTCTCGAAGAATAATACTTATGGATCTTAAAAAAGCAGTAAGTCACTGAGAAACTTTTTATCAAGTATGGCTGATCATGTAGTAAATAGTAAACAAGTAAATATATAAGCAAAAGTGTTTGAAGAGACTTGAGTGAACCACCATGCATTCTATGCTTGAGCAACTTGATCAGTAGACCAAGGATAAATTTCAATAGCATATGGAAAACATAAGTGTGAAGAAATTGGCCTAAACATTTAAAAATTTTGCACTACATCTCAAACGAATCTGATAATGGTAAACAGCTCTCTTGTTTTATTGATGATAAGGAGGGAGCTATCCTGGTAACATAGGTGTTCAGAGTTGGCATAAGAATGAGCTGGAACAAAAGAATAAAATGTTTCAAGAAGGCGGCCTTAAAATCGAAACTATGATCTAGAATTGGAATGCGAATAATGATGGCACCTACCTTGAATCCATCACAAAAATTCAGATTGTAGATTTAATAAATTCAGAATTTTTCAGATACCTTAGTGTATGGATCAGTTATAACAAATTTAGTACAGGAGATAAGGGAATTGAACATAGAATAGGCTGCGCTAGAGGTAGTTTCACACAACACCGCAAGAGACTACACAACCAACACATTAATCTAAGAACTGTAGCCATATTCTTGAACAGCCTCGTTAGATCAAAACTCTGATAGAAATATCAGGCATAAGGTCAAACTCATTCAGAAATGTGTAAATTATTAACTGTTTATGATATGTCCCGGAAAGGGATATATTTGTTCGAAGTAGCAAAGTGGTTTTGGACTACTGTAACCGATTAGGACAATCTAGCAGGTAACCATAATGGACTGGTCCTCGTCGTAGTGGTAGGCAATAGGCGTAGGCAATAGGCATAGACAATAGGCGTAGTCCCTGTACCTCCACATCAGTCTGTATTTATGGCTGACACCAGCCAATCATATTACTGTGAGGGGGAACCCAGGTGTATGCATATTCACTACATGACTTGAAGATTTCCAACAGCAACAATAATAAAAATGGATAGCACATTTAACATATAACCAAGATGTTAACTTTTCACACAACTATAAACAAAGGATTTGAAATTTAAATAATAATAATAATAATAGAAACAGCGATATCAGTTGAGAAGTCAAATTTCTAGAAAAACTGTTTTTTTGTAAAAAAAGATTTTATATATTTCAATGTCCTGGGTATGACAATAAACTACATCTGGCAGCTGATTGGGAGATTGGAAGTTTTGAGAAACGTGGAACCATCTCTTAATTACTGTTGTTTCTAGATCCACTTTGACCCGGGATGGTAGCCCCTGTTAGGGTTCCAGCATGGGCAAATATCTGTAGTTGAACGCATACAATTCCGTTCAAAATATATTTAGGTGAAGGTATAATATTGTTCAAAATATTTAGGTTTCAGTGTTAAATAACCCATAGATGTTGATATACTGCTAAACAAAATCAACCAACCAAAATCCATGTTTGAGTTTGGGTCTTTTTGTTTGAATCCATTCCCTGAATACTGTTCCAGTTCTGTTCACGTCTCCATAATCGGTAGATCCGGAAATAAACTACAAAAATTCCGCTTGTTGGGTCCACCCCCAACTGGCATTTAATTATTGGTCCCACAATGCTGCTGGCAAAAACACTATCATTACTCTATATAACCAGCATTCAGAATAAATTTAGTTGAAACCATAGAAATGCATTTATAATATACGGTGTCCATAAAGTCTGTTTACAATTTAAAAATCTTTTCTACAAAAGCAAATAAACCAAAAAATATGTGGAAATTGTTACAAAATGGGGAATAGATATTGAAATATTTTTAACTAATTTAATCCACCTCTATATGGACACCATTATTTGCACGAAGCACATGAAGATGGTAGTCGATTCCTTGCCATCTTTGCTGTAGCATAGCCTCATTAATGGTGGCAATGGCATCAATAGTCTTTTCCTTTAGATCAGTGAGGTCCCGTATCTTTGTTCGATACACGATATCTTTAACATAACCCATAGAAAGAACTCTTGTATTTCCGCTGAGTCTTCATATCCGATTTTGTTTCATTAATTGCCTTTACTTGAGGAATAGCCATTTTCAGGGGTTCATTTAATAGTACCGCTTTCATCAACAGGATAGCGGAAATACACAAATGCAATGTGATTAAAATCTTTGATAAAAACTAAGTAAATAGAACAAATCTGATTAAGATATCTCATCAGTTTTTTTTAAACTGCATAGAGACTTTATGGACAACCTGTACATTTAATTAAAGCAAGTGTGTTCGAAATATTTAGGTATTAAGATTAAAAAAAAACCCAAAGAGATTGATATACGACTAAACAAAATCAGCCAACCAAAAATAAAGTTCAGCCGACAATAACACTAACACTTCAGTCAATGAATGAAGAATGTTTTATTATAAGTGATGTAATGAATATGCATACACCAGGGTTCCCCCTCACAGTAATATGATCCTCTGGTGTCAGCTATAAATACAGACTGACGTGGAGATACAGGGACGACGCCTATTGCCTACCACTACGATGATGACCAGTTCATTACGGTTACCTGCTAGATTGTCCTACTCGGTTACACTAGTCTAAAACCACTTTGCTTTGACATAAGAGGTCTCATGTTTCAAAACAAGATCCGAAAACTTCAATATAATTATTTGAATTAAATTGAGTTAAAGTAAGCTCTGTTCCATCTTCAAGCGTAATTTTTTGGGGAATAACTTATTTCTGAAATTTACGTGTTTTAATAATTGAAATAAAAATTTCCATGGTAACAGCTAGGGCGAATTGTATAAATTAGGTAGGTGTGTGTTGGGTGTTAATAATAAGTATCAGTATAGAGTTACTTTCATGGAAGTCAAGTCAGGGTAAGGTGGGGGTGTCTAAATTTGAAACGGAAGATGTTTTCGCCTAGTCTGGTTTACGTGTCTATGGAGATTTATTTATTTTTTTATTTTATTTCTTTATGAAAGGGATTTGTGCATATAAAAACTTCCGTAACATTTGTTTTTAGACGACTTCATAAAGGGTTATCTTTTTTTGTAGGGTATTTAAACTATTTATTTGGGCTATGGATTATAAAAGTTATTAGAGAGAGAGAGAGGAGAGAGGGAGAGAGAGAGAGAATTTATCCTACATTGAGTAGTTGCACTTTGTCAGCCTATAGTGGGTCCTGTAGATACTTTGCACCTCCTCCATAAATTTTGGCGTGTCAGTATATTTAACGATCTCACTTCAGAGATAAGGTGAGTTAAAAGTTTTCTTATTCCGTTTGTGCGTGCTAATAGGCCATGCAGAGGCGACAAGAAGAAAGAAAAAAAGAATGTCATCAGATTGATGGAGAAAACGTAAGGAAAAAAGAAAGGAGGCGAGTAATGAAACGCTTCGATAACTGTGTAGCAATATGTCATATTAATCAAGATGAAAAAACAGTCGGAACAGTTCTGAAAAAAAAAGAAACAGTGACAAGATTTCACAACTCCAATATTCTATTTTTTTAAATGTTTTTACACATAATTGCTTCTGAGCTTTTGCATGTATCTGTCTTGATCTTTAACTTAATCGGTGCCAACCAATTTTGCAGACTTTCTGGATGCACCTGATGCATATTTATCGTCAAACGCAGTGAGAATGTTCACCGGATTCAGAAACGGTGAGTGTCAATTATTATTTTAGAATCTTCTTCTTCTTCTTTGTGCCTTATCGCTTCAGAACGTGAGTGATAATGGCCCTCCACAGCTTCCTCCCTTTTGCAGCTCTTACCACTATTGGTATTTTAGCTATCTCTCCTAATCCTTGTTTGCTAGCCATTTATACACACCCGTTCGGTAGGCTATTTGCCGCTTTCCTCTGTCCCCTTTGCCTTCAACGTATCCTGTGAGTGTTAAATTTTCCGACCCCTCTTTCCTACGAAATGTCAATTGTCTCTTTCTGATTCTAAATATAAGTGTGCTTTTTGTTTCTGTTTTCTCAAAAACCTCCTCGTTACTCAGATGTTCAGCCTATGCCATTCTCAGCATCCTTCTGTAGAACCATATTTCTGTTGTCTCAAGTCTCTTATTCGCCTGTGAGGAGATTGTCCTACATTCCCTGATCTATAGAAGGACCGATATTGTTTCTCACAAATTTTCTTAATACTTTGCTTAACTTCTAGAAGGCATCTTTCGCTACTCCAATTCGCCTTCAGATTTCAGTGTCACACTCCCCATCCTCTGTTGAAAGACTTCCTAGATATTTAAAATTGGGTAATTCTTTGATTTTGGTTTCTCCAATTCCTAGTTCGCATCTTAAACTGTTCTTTTTGCTGACAATCATATATTCTGTTTTCTTACAATTGATGGTTAGTTCAATTTTTTTCTAGTTTTCCTTTAATACATTCTAAACGAATTCCTGTAGTTTATTTTCTATGCCTGTTGTACAGCACTGCTCATCTGCATGTCTTATATTGTTAAGCTTGTGGCCACCAATAACGAATTCAGGTAGGACTTCTAAGTCTCTCAGAATCACTTCACTGTAAAGGTTGAATAAGTCGGGTGAAAAGACATATCCTTCTCTTACACTCCTTTCTGATTTTGTATATTTACTGAATTCATTTTCTATCTGCATGCAGACGGTTCGCTTTCAGTGTACGTTCTGGATTGTTCCAATCGGCAAACGCCCGGTTCAAACTTTTTTGCGATCTTTTGATCAGGGGTAGGAGCTTATCCCTTGTTTCCTGCTTAGGATTGGGTTTTCAGTTCCAGTAACCCCTTGCGTCTTAGTGGCTTCATCGTCTAACTTACAGGGGGGATTTATATAAATATATATATATATATATATATATATATATATATATATATATTGAACAATAAAAAATTAAAAATTAAAATCTTTAGACACACTGGGTTGTAGATTAATATTCTTTCGTTTTTTATTATTATTATTCCATTTAGATTCCTCGACTAGTTTCGGCCAAAATAGCCATCATCGGGAGGAGAAATATTTCTGCTTGCTGGTAGCACTAAACTACAGAAAAAATATTTATTCATATATATATATATATATATATATATATATATATATATATATATATATATATATATATATATATATATATATATATAGTTTTAAGGTGTGGTATATTTATGGGATAAAGTGCTTAGTATCAGAGATAGAGCGTATGTAAATATAAATATAAAAGTGAACACTCTGAGGCCATAGGCTGTTTCATGATGGAAATATATATATATATGTATATTCAAATAACTCAAGCTTACCTGACACTTCAAATAGTTCTTTGTGATGTATTTTATAAAACATATTTAGAATAAGCATGCACAGAAGCCCAAAATAGGGCTGTATAAAACGAACAAATCTATACTCATATTCTACACGTACGGCAATAAGATTAAAATTAACTTTGAAAATTTTTCTGAAGAGCTCTATGCTTGGGCCAACATTGTTAACAATACTGTTAACAAGATTGTCCCTAATTTTCATCACCGATTATCGCGATGTCACCAGGTCTCAATTCAATATCTATGCTGATAGAACGACTATTTGCTCCTGACTTAAGTCTGATCGATTCGATAAAGTCAAATTGCCAGCCGATCTCAAAAGTGACCTACTATCTTTTGTTAACTGGGGCAAGAAATGACTTGTTGATTTTAACACCTCCAAAAACTGCTCTCTTTTAAACGTCTTAGAGAAATTTTTGCCTTTTACCGGCATGGCTGATGCTAACCGCCAGAAGACTGACTCGATATGTATTCTCAGGCTAATGTTTTCTGCTGGTGTGATGTGGAAAAATATATTGAAATAATTTCTAGCTCTGCGGCTAGGAAAGTCTGTTCACTTTGTCGTGACAGACAAAATTTCCCGCCAGAAGCTACCTTATAAAATTTGCTCATGCATTGAATATTACAGCCATATCTACGATGTAATTAGAGATTCTTGGTGAAATCCAAGAAAGAATCTGCAATATTATCGGTCCTGACCAAGTATCTCGGCTTCAATCACTTTCCAAACGCCGTAACGCAACTTCCCTGTGGCTTTTCTATAAATGTTTTCATGTGAATTATTCTATGCTCTTTCTTCTCGCACTTCTCCCTTGTGAAACTGTCTTCCGGCCTCTATTAGAAACTAATCAAAGTCAGCTTCCTCTTCCCCACTTCCTCTAGTGATCTATATACGCACTCCGTTATATATATAGATAGATAGATAGATAATATTAGTGGTAAATATACATACATATGCAAAATATATATATATATATGCATATATATATATATATATATATATATATATATATATATATGGTATAAAATGACAATTGAAAAAATCTTAGATTTTGCCGACGCGTTTCGTCTTCCGACTTTTTCAAGGCAAAAATGAAATCGAAATATTTTTGTTGTTATAGTTACATTAAAAAAAATCCAAATTTAAAAAAGATAGACGCTTTTGTCTAAGCCTTTTTCTGGTTAATGTAAATCACCTTTATAGTAAGGGATTTTTTTTTTACATGTCGACAATATAGTTAGATTCCCAGATCAATTCTGTCTTGTCCACAGAATTGATCTGGGAATTTAAATATATATATATATATATATATATATATATATAGAGAGAGAGAGAGAGAGAGAGACTAGTTAGTTAAAATGGTTAACAATGGTTAGTAAATCCCCCAGATCATTACTAATTGGAAGCTCTGCAGGCGTTGCCTTGCGCCAAAACGACCTTTAGTAAATAACTGCTTTCAATAAGGGGAGAGCTTATGAATGCTATGCTAAAGTCAACACAATAATCTCAATAAAATTTAGAGTGGCAGATGCAAACAAAATTAAACTATTCAAAATTATTATATCTTCCTTTTCTTTTTTTTTTTTTTTTTTTTTTTTTTAAGGAATTTGGAAATTCTTGTGGCAGACTTTGAAAAAATACTCAAGATCCGAATCTGTCAACGTAGTTGTTGGTCCGGTGTTTGATAAGAATCACGACGGTATTTTTGACCCCGCTGACCGGTAAGTGTTTCAAATATGAAGACGGATACCATGGCTCATCTTCAGGGATTTATTTATGCTAGATGTTTTTTTTTAATCATTTCACCCCCAAACAAGGCGGGGATGCCTCTAGTACGCAGGAGGTTACAGGGTATGAAAGTGAGAAAATAGACAGAGCATCGGAAGGATCGAGGAAAGGACAAAATATGAACGGGATTCACGATAGAAGATGGAGATTGACGTTTCATTTAAATTTTTGATGATTGTAGTTATGAGGAAAGCAAGTAAACAGGAAGTGCGACAAAAGTTGCATTTACCTAATTCAACAGTAAAAGGGTGGGACCTAGATGCCAATCTAGTAACGCGCTTAAATTCATGTAGTCAGAGAACCAAGAAAAAAAAAGCCCTTCAGTTGCCATGAAAATATTTTAAGAAAAGACAGAGGTAAGCCACGTCACGATGGTGAGAAAGTGGCTAAAGTCGAGATACCATATCAGGATCGATTACATTACAGATCCTTCTTTGGGTTTTGTCAAGGACCTCGACATGAATAGCAGGAGCACCAGACCAGGTATGGTAGCACTTTACTGTCCTATCAGACTTTGAGGTCTTCAAATAGCAAAGATGGAGACACAATCACAAATCTAGCTGCTTAACAGGCTTTTTTAACAAAACTAGAGGCCCTAACAAGATTTATGATGGGTGGGCGTATTCTTAACAATATAAGTTACGCAGATGACACGCAGACACAGAAAGCTAACTACAGTACATCTTAGACAAGTTTGTCGAAGAAAGCGAGAAGAAAGGACTAAGCACAAGTTATAAGAAGGCAGTGCTTGGTTATCAAAAGGATGAAAGGACCGAGATGCTACGAATGCAGACAGTCCTAGGATAAACTACATTCGGTAGCCAAGGCCTCTGATCGGGAGACTGGAGGTTTTGATGAACATGAAACTATCTCTTAAATTCCATTGTTCCCAGGTCCACCCTGACTAGGGTTGATAGAACCTGTCAGGGTCCCAGCTATGGACAAATAGTGAAACCCTAAGCAAAATCCTATCAAAGTTTAAAAATGCATGTTTATAACAAAATATCAGCAATACATTTTCATGTAAAAAAAAAAAACAATAAAAAAAAAATTAGCAACGAAAACTTTATGGCAAAATTAGCAACGAAAACTTTATGGCAAAATTAGCAACAATACATTTTTAAAGCAATATGACCAGCAATACATTTTATATCTAGTTGAAGGCATATATTTGCGTTCAAAATATATTTATTTGAAGCCATAAAATTGTTCAATTTATTTACATTTCGGCATTGACTGACTCGTGGAGGTTGATATGCCGCTAAACAAAATCAACCAACCAAACCACAGACATGAAAGAATACTTTCATGACATATAATTCTAATGACAAAAGTACACAGGAGTAGGCTTTAACAAAGCTTTATTCAACTGAGAATAACAAGGTTCGTGTATAGTGTCCTTTTATAGTCCCAGTAAAAAGAAAAATCTCTCTTAAAGAGGAGATTAACAAAACAAGGGGAGAGGAACCCAGACGAGACGCGGTCTATGGCGAATTTTGCGTGAGCCCACGGGCTCGGTTTTAACCCCGCATTAAAAACGGCCTTGTGCCACATCCTGCCTCGCAGGGAGGTGAGGTAAATATCCTTGCTTTGGCCATTAGTTTGAGATTCGTCTCTAGCTGTGCTGGTCGAACTATCTGCCTTCGAGAAGAGAGTAACCCAGACGAATATTGCCGAATGGCATAGCTTCGTCTGGGGTGGTAGACAGCTATCCGATCCCGTTTTTTACAGGGTCTACAGTGAATTTTTGCCGAGCCTATGGGTTCGGTATTGATCCCGCATTAAATAACGGCTTTGTGCCACATCGTACCACGGATGGGGTAAGGTAAATATCCTTGCTTCGGCAATTAGTTTGAGATACGTCTCTAGCTGTGCTGGTCGAACTCTCTGCATTCGGGTAGGGAGGAAGCCAGACGAGGTTAATCCGAATGGCAGAGTCTTGTCTGGTGTAGTAGACCGCTACCCAACCCCATGTATACAGGATCTACGGGGAATTCTTTCCCGAGCCTACGGGCTCGGTTTTGTCCCGCATTAAAAAAAACGGCCTTGTGCCACATCCTACCTCACGGGGAGGTGAGGTAAATAACATTGCTTCGGTAAAAACTAGCCTGCCACCCGATTTCCTGTCTTTCAGTAGTGTCTTCTCTTTTACAATAAACCTCTCTTCTTTCATCTACGCGCGTTGTTGCTGTTCTTTTACTCGAGTACCAGCTTTGTCTGTTTATAACCTCAAAACACTCAAACTTGGGTGGCTTTTGGGCCTTGTATTGGATTAACTTTATAAAAAAAAAGACTAGAAAGCATTTATTTATTTGACATCCTCTGATACAGAGCCAAGATCAGTGAGAATATAGCACTCTGCGTGAATTGATTTGTGAGAGTAGCTTGCCAAACATCACCCAGCGGTAAAAAGAAACAATTGTTTTTGTGTCACTTTGTGTCAAGGTGCTTCAACAGAACATTAATAGTTATAAAAATGTCTGCTTTATCGCTTTTTTTTACCTCCATTTACATACTTGTATTGAGGCTTTATACACATGTATAAGTTCCATTGCATCCCATATACAATAGAAGTGCAATACTGTTTCAAAATAGCAACTTCAAGTGACCGTGAAGCTACGTCATGTAAAATTACCCAATCAAAATTGAACATTCTTGTGAAAAGAAAGAACATGGAACAATCGGTCACGTTTGCTTGTAAATGTATTTCGCTTAAAATATTAGAACTATTTTAAAATCGATTCACCACAGGCAAGGCGATAATACCACTAAGACGCAAGGTGTTACTGAATGAAAGATAATAAGAAGTCGCTGGTTATGTAAAATACAATAAAAGGAAGACAGAAGACGTTGCATTGAAATTTTTATCGTAGATGACGGGGAAGCAACAAAAAAACGGTTCTACAATCGAAATGTGCAATAGAAGAAACTATTAGAATAGAACTTACGGTTACATCTCGCTATTTTAACAATATCTTTGCGAAATTATTAGTACGCTTAAGGTACCAGAGATGAAAGTAATATTTATTTTGAGTAATAGAAATTTGTGGCACAAGGCCAAATGGGGTATAGGGGGGAGGTTGTCTTATCTTAAACTTAGCTAGCCGCAATTACTGAGCCAAACATACCACAGTATTCCTTACACCAAAACAACACAACACATTCTTGCTTACCATTTTTGAAACAGTCACCATAATACCTCAAAGTCTCTATGTAGTCCTAACTAGTTCCCATATGCACAATTTGAATAAAAATAACAACATTTAAGAATGAAACCCCAATGAATATTTACAAGGATTACAATTTATATACAATCAACTAAACAAAATAGTGTTAGTAATACCCCCTCCACAATTCTTAATTGTGTCAAAAAATCAATTAATTGGACGAAATTAATGTGGGATCATTCGACCAAACACTCACCCAAACACACGTTCATCCAGACACAAATACAAAATGCACACTCGAAAAACGAAAAGCGTCCCGCATCTACCAGGGAACTGTTATCTCTGTTACCTAACGTGCGAAGGAAGGTGAGAGGGAATTAAACCAAAGAAAGTGGCGACAAAAACACAGGAGACCACTGAGCATATAACCCCTAAGTTAACATGATTGAAGAAACTAGGAATAAAACAAACCTAAACTACCCTATTTTATTACAAAAATTGCCATGAAAATATTCAGAGAAAATACAGAGGTGGAGAAATGACAAAAGTCGAGTTGCCAGGTCAGGACCGATAACATTACAGACCCATCTTTATGACTACTATTCTGTCTGTTTTGTTTTGTTTTTTTGTTGGGGGGGTTGTTTTGTTTTGTAATTCTGTGTCTATATTTTTCCATAGTCGGTTTACATTCTCATGTCCAATAATGAAGCCATCAAAGGGTGTCTACGTGTCAGTTATATTAAAATACCATGAAGAAACAAAACCAAATTCAAACTGTCATATAGGAAGAAAGTGAGTAACTACCGACACCGGGGTTCGAACGTGACACTCTGGACTTATGAATATATGTTTTCCGCCAGGTGTATAAATAGCGGTGTCAGGCTACTGACTGAAGTGATTATTGAGTGATTATTGAGTGGAACTATCCAGTCGAATTAGTGTGAATTATTATGCTTCGATGATTTGGGTTTTGATTTAGGAGATTACTGAACGTTAAGCCGAGCCGCGCTACTAACAAAGTATTCACTGAAATTGTTAATAAGGTTTAATTGACTTTTACTTCTTTTTTCTTGTTAAGTATTTATTTGTGGTTGTAATTAAATACTGTTTTATTTTAACATTGAAGGTATACTTAATTAGTAACGGCCACCGTACGTCACAAAACAAACATATTTAAACTGATTCATCTTCCATGTGCCGTTTATGGCTCTCCAAAATTTTCTGTCTTCTGTGTTTGTCTCTTTAATATTCTCCCAAGGGCCGTTTCTGCTTTTCACTTTCACAAAATCGTTATGTAGGTCACTCACTGCTTTCTCTTGTTTCTTTTGCCTTCAAAATGTCCTTTGATTGTTGAATCCTTAGACCCTCTTTCTTCATTTATTCTCTAAGCGTCTCCTTTCCATGTTCCTTAAAACATCCCCGTTGCTCATGCTCTCCGTTCATAGTATTCTCATCATATTTCTGTAGTACCTCATCATTGTCGATTCAAATCTCATAAGCAAATTGTCTCCGTAAACCTGCTTCTGCTGGATTTTCATTTCGAAGATCATGCCTTGAGCACTAACTTTTGCTGACGACCGTACATTATTTTTTACTATGTGCCGCGTCTCTTTAGAACGTGGGCGATCATGGGCCTTCACAACTTCCTATATGTTTTTAATCTTAGTAAGTTTTATCCTTTCACTATCCCTCCCACTCTCAGTTCTGCCACCCAAGGTAAGGTTGTTGGGTAGATTATTCGATGTTCTCCTTTGTCCCGGTTGCCT